ATCCATTTTAACTCCATGACTCTGTGAGATGAGTCTCAGATACCCTCTGTTCCTACCTCCTTCCACAAACCCTCAGGCAGCTAAATGTCATCAGTACACTCCGGATCCAGATCCCTTCGTGTTATATGAGCCACACTACTTCTCCACTCCTTCTGGACACACCCCACTTCTGTCGCCTGTACTCTGTTCCACTGCTCCAAATCCATGTTTTCAAAGGCAGCCAGGACTACTAAGTGGTGTCATATGCTGGAGTAATACCATGGAAATGTTTTATGTCTCTAATATCAAATAATATCAAAAATATTAAACATCAATGTGATAATCTCAGCACTAGCCTTGCACTTTTCTGCACAGTCTGATTTGGACTGATCTATAAGGAAAGCTCTTAGAGACTTTTACTCCATGATCTACAGGATTCCATCCATCTACACTGATAGTTATAGTACTTCTGCTATAAAAATCATTGCAGTCTGCTTCACAAGAATCTGCACCTGTCCTGGCTCATCTGCTGCCATCATTTCAGCCTCGTGTTGTTTCTCCTTCCCGCAGCTCCACAGATCCCGCAGTACATATCTGTCCCCTTGTGGCCATATGCCTTACACAGCCTTGCTGCTTCATAGGATCCTTTAAGCTGACCAAAACCTTTCAGCTCTTTCTCCCACCCACACAAGCACGACTGCCCCAGCAGCTCCAGAAAACTGCTTAAAAGGGGTAGGAAGCATCTAAAAGGCACTGCAGGCTTACCCGAGGGATTCAACTGTGTCTTGATGTCAGCCGAGTGCCACACAAGGTGCAAAGTGCAAAGTGCACCACACTCTGGCTAGAGATAAAGTGCAGGAGGATGCTGACAGGTCTGAGGGATGGAAAGTGGCAGCACAGCAAAAGTGTGGACAGATTTCTCCAGCAAACTTACACAACCCAGTTGACGCTGGGGCTTTGTGCATAAACGGAGGCACAGATGTGAAACTTTGCTAGATGAAGAACTGGGATGACCACAGATACTTTGCTGCAGGCAAGTGATCTGTGAAAGATCCAGGTGAGAAAGATACTGTGAATGACAACAAACCCAATGCAGCGTGAAGAGTCCAAGAAAAAAAAATGTCTTCAGATGAAGGTCTGAGAATTGTTGCCAGTTGTGTTTTTCTGCTAGTCCTTTGGGACGCCTGTTGGTCTCTGACCTCCTCCAAGGGCAAGAAGTCAGCCAGAGTGGCTGACCATATCAATTCGTACTGGTTCTTTATAACTCATACTGCACATTTTTACATCATTAATGCAGTATGAAGGGCACACAGAGGAAACACTTTGAAATACTCAGTGAAATAGTGCTAGAAATACTCTTACTGTTCCTTACTTCATGCCAGCTTAGGCCCAAGCCATCAACCAAAGCAGAGTTTTCGGGCTGTGGACACTCCCTGTTGGGACCAGAGGTGCCTCTTGGGTGTGCCCAGATTTCCATCCCCGTGCTGAAGGCTCCCCTAATGCCCTGCTGTAGCCCCCAGAGCTGCCGCAGCCACGCTCTTCCTCAGGGTACAAACCATCAGCAGCGGGGGAAAGGGCTGAGTCAGCTCTGCAGGCATGTGGCTGCCAGCCCTGGGGAAGGTCTTCCAGCATTCCACGGGTACCATTGCATGTTTGTTTTGTAATCAGAGCTCCCAGCGTTTTGTGGGCAAGATTTTATTTTTTTTCAGATTAAATTGCATCCACTGGCCTATTTAAAAACAGTATTATTAGAAAATTGAATGTGTTGTTTATAACCAAGCTCATCCTCTCCACCCAACACACTAACATTCCTAAAAAAAAAAAAAAGCCCAAATCATTTCATAAAAGCACCTATTTACAACAAAAATTATAAAAGGTACACATAACCTGGGGCCAAAATCTATCCAGCTCCCAGCTTCCTGCCCTCCAGTCCCATTCCCAGCATTACCAGAAGCCATCTAATACTTGGTCTCTCTACCTGGGACCTGTTTGGAGCCCACTGGCTCACATTTTGCAATCTTGTGTTGTTTCTCCTGCTTATCCAAAAGTTTAAGTATTCACAGAGAAAAAAATGAAATAACATAACTGTTTTATTTGTTCTCCTCTGAAAATAAGTATTCTTCATTGTCTCAAGGGTCATTTGCTGACTTTAAAACTGACAGAAAAGTAAACTTTTTTGTTCAAACACATTTTTGTGTTTTGTAGATTTTTCTTTTCTGACTCAGTTATCCCTCACTAATTATGAGTGCAATCTAATAAACTCATCCTCCTTCCAGATAAAAAGAAGTGTTGCCATAGAAAATTTTTACTTGTTTTGACAAAAAAAAAAAAAGTCTGAAGTCTTCCATTTGAAAAGGATTATCTTTGAACATTCTTTCCAGTTTCTATTCTGGCAAGCTATCATTTTTTAGTTTCCACATTAACTAATTTTGTTTTGCATGCTTCAGTGATATCAGAAATCCCTTCTCTCTAATTTCCTAGAGAGTTTAACTTAATTTTGTTTCATGCCTTGCCCTTTTTCATTTAGATGGTCAAGAGAAAAAGTCAGAGTCTGTAGTCTTACAAAATACTTCTATTTCACAGGAAAAATTTGGGAGAATACATTACTTTTTCTCTCTAAATGTACCTGATTCCTCACCTGCTGTTTTTTTAAAATTAACATCTATTATGACTTGGCTTATTCATATTTCCCCTCTCCTGCACCATCATAATGTGTAAAATAATCCAGTAACAGAGCAGCTGTAGGAAATTGTATATGATGGACATCCATAGAAAATATGAAAAAGCAAGAAAACTGCTTTATAGAATGATAAACTACAGAGCAACAGAAGTCAAAGAGTAATTTAATGTGATCCGCCTTAATGCATCTTAATTCTAATTTAGCAAAGTACATTGAATACTTTTGCACTTAATTTCTTTGAGGAATCCTGGTTCTACTACATTAATATTCTGATGCTTGGTTCTGCTGTGTTGCAAATAGTCTATTATCAATAATACAATGCATAGGCAAAAATTCAGTTCCATGTACTTCAATAAACTCTTAACACTAACACTCATTTTTCTATCTCCTTTGTGATTTTATTACTACAGTGTTTATAACATGCATGTAATTTCACTTTAATATCTACAATTGCAACATTTTAATTTGTTGCGTTTTGCCTTACCACTTAGCAAAGTTATTTTCAGTGGAGCTGGTTCAGCTGTTATTTGGAGAGAAAAAAAAGGAGTTCTGTAGCTGTACTGTTCTGTGAGTTAACACATAGCACTTCTTTACATTATTTACATTATTTTAGTATGTATTCTGATCAAGAATCATTTACCACAATAAAACAGTAATTATGAACAGATAGCAAGCTCTTAATTGCACACCTTCTATTAATCTAGACAAACCTAGTGAAAATAACACAGGGGAAGAAGGGTGCCTGCTGACACAACCTGGATATACACTTGCAGCGCTTGTCTTGTGTTGAACACATCTTGGTTTAAAAAAGAAAACATTTGAAACAAATGTTGAAAGCATTCATAAGCCTCTTCTATTTTTTCTCCCAGAAGAAAGATTTATTTCAATGCTGTATGGAACAAGCCTTAAAAAAAAATTGAGAGTCAGTTTTTTCAAGGCTTACTTAAATTATATAAGCTTACTTAAATTATATAAAAATCACCAGAACTTTGTTCAAAACAAATTGCTTCTTATTTATTTATTTGCTTTGGCTAAATGGAAAAATATGGCAGTACTCTTCCAAGAGTAAAGCAAATAGAGGGAATATTAGCTGTCAGGTCATAATCCTTTGTGAACACGGTGATTGATTATTAGTACTTCAGAAAATGTACTACAGCACATCTACTGTGCTAAAAAGAGAAAAAAAAAAGGCATTAGAAAACTTTTATCCTTTCTTCTGGCTTAATATGCAAGCCACTAATCAAGCATTGCTGTGAACTTCATGTGAAAAATCTGCCTCCTTTTAAATAATTTAGAGAACCATGCTGGTGGCTTCTGTGGGGCTGGAACTTCACTGCTGGTGCCAGGGCTGGTCACAGGGTGGCAGGGGACAGGGCTAATGAGCCTGACAGGAGACTTCAAGTCTCCTGGCAGACATCAGGACATCATTTCACAATGCAAACTTACTTTGTAATTGCCACTCTCAGAGACTACTTTTTAATGTTATGAATGTATTGTCTGGGTTGAGTGGACCTAAATTTGTAATGCAATTTACTTAACTTTCAAAATGTGGTAAATCATGTTTCATATTATATTTATAAAATGTGGATGAAGAAGATGGGTTTTGTTCTTTAGTAATAAATCAAAGAGAAGTGTCTATAAAACAAACAAAATACAAAGTGAAACTACTTGTATTATCTCACAAAGAATTAGAAAATTATTGCATCCTTTTCCACCCTCTAAATCCCCAATCAACATATCATGCCTAAAAATTACATTTTATCCAGCCTTGAACACTTCTAAGGATGGCGCATCCACAACTTCTCTATGCAACCTGTGCCTCACTACCCACACAAGAAAGAATTTTTTTTCTATAGATATCTAATCTCAACCAGCTCTCTTTTGGTTTGAAATCATCCCCCCCCACCCAAAACAATGTTACATTATAAAACAAAAAATTAAGTTGATTTTAATCCAGTTAGCCAGAGGAGAGTAAGAATTTATGCAAGATCTTCTCAAGTGACTGATTTTACAGTCATTTGTAAAATGCTTGAGTGTAAAAAAGCTTGATTGTTTATTTTTTATTTTACAGCAAGTCACTGAGAAACAATTCTTCAGAAGCAAATGAAATAAAAACATATTTTGAGTCCTCAGCCAGATATTGAAATTACCACTCTTACTCAAAGAAGTGTAATTCTTCTTAAAATAGTGTGTTCAGTTTCACTGGGTGGGTCATCGTTTGCTGAGATACTGTAGAAAGCCCACAAATGGTCAGACACAATTATGTAAGTTGTCTTTACCGTTCTACACAACCATACAAAATTTATAATGGGAAAACTAAAACCACATAATGAAGTTTGAATGTGCTATTAAAAGAGATTTATTGTCCACATTTCTTTTTAAAAAATCATGAAGTTTAACAACACTCAGAAAGCAGTTTTTATGACTAAGAGGTAGTTTTGTACACCTCAAAATCATCCCTTCTCTGAAAATAAACACTTAAGTAGCTCAACTATTTTCTGTAGTGAACAAGAATTCTAAAATAATTTTTCATTAACTCAGAAGAATTGCCACTGTGGATTAATTGCCCGAGGAATACAGCAGCTGGAAGGAAAATTTTCAAGACATCATGACCAAGGCCAACACTCAATTTTACCAAATATATCTATACGTGGCACGTGATGGGACCCTGTGAGAAAGCCTTTGCTGCAAAAATGTAATTTTTTGTTTTGCCACATGAGCAGACAAAAGAAACCAACAGAAGAAAAAGACAACCTTTTGTTCCAAAATTGAGATAATCCTCTAACTTGCAGACAACTGTCTAAAGCCCTTAAGTGTAAAAATGCAGAGATGTTCCCAGGTGGCAAGAAGAACATCAGCAGGACAACCCCTACTTGATTTCAGCCTTGTCAACTGCAGGTAAAACACAAGGAATGCCACTGAAGCAGACATCCAGTAACTTCTCAAAATTGTGTACTGACCTTGGTGACCCATGACTTCAATGCCTCTGCACTGAAACTTGAGAGCATCATTGATGTGTTTCCCATCATTTTCATAATTGAAGTATTAAGCTGCCCAGGGATTTTCTGTTTGCCATCTCCAGGCTGCTGGATTTACTCTACCCATTTCTATCAGTCTCTCTGTTGAAGTTCTAAAAATCAGCCCTAGTTGTTGTCTCTGGAGTAGGGAACAGAAACAGAGATGTTTTCTGTGGAGGTCCAGCAGGCAAGGAAGCAAAGAGAAAATTCACTTTGTTCCATCTCGGTTCAGTGAAGAAGCTGGATGTTCCTTTGCTGCTCCTCTGGGGTCCTTGCCATGTCTTTGAGGCAGATGCAGGGGAAGAAGTGGTGCCGATGGGAGTGAATCAGCCCGTCAAGGCGTGTAATGATTTCATAGTCAGGAAGAGCCAGGCTGGCAGTGTCGAGGCCCAGCATCCGTGAGACCACCTCTCGGAAATCTGCCAGCTGCGGGAGCAAACACAAGGGAATAAATTAAATAGGAAGCAAAGGAGATGTCAGGGAAAGCATGTACATATAGGCACACATACAAACACAAGCACTTGTATTTATCAGTGCTAAATATAGGCATATCAGCTGTTGCTCAGTACAGAGAGCAGAAGAGGACACAAACAGCCCTTTGGGACATACATCAAATCACAAAACACAAACAGCTGAGATGTCAAGGATCTCAAACACAAAATACAGTTTTCAAGTGTTTCTTTAGTATCTCTCACAGGCATATCTTCTCTGCTGACTCAACCCAAAAACTGAGTAAAATACACTTTTACTTGACCCAGATACAAACTGGAAACTCTGGTGGGCAGTTCCCAGAGCAGAGTTGTTGCTTCTCCTTGATCACTATCTACCACGCTCCCCTCCAGCCTTCACTTTGTTGAGAAAAAAGAAAGGAGGAAGTTAGAAGAAAGGTGGAAGTTCTTGGCACATCCTGCAGTCTGACTTTGATTTGAATCAGGATACAGCCCAAATTCAAGATGCAGCTTAAGAAATTGCTTGTTTTTCTTCCCTGCATAGCTGCTGAAAACATCATAGGAATAGTATTTGGTAAAGTAATTAGTTAAGGACATCAGCTTTCTCTCTGCTGATCCAAATGGGCAGACATCCACAAGTAGTTGTCGTCACTGCTGATTTACTCTTCTTAACTCACAATATGTATCATTATCAGTCAAACTTCAAAGCTTCTTGAAGAGACAATAAAATACACAGCCCAAATGACAAATGCCTTAATACCCCTTTATTATCAACACATAAAAGAGGAAAACTTTACTATTTGAGGAAATATTATTTTCTTGCTCTCTATTTGAATGCTGAGATCCCCATCCCAAGCATGAAAGAGACTCAAAATGCCACAAAAATCATCAAAACCACCAAGAAACTGGATTCATGTTCTGATGTGGCAGCATCCTCACTCCACCAATCCTGCCAAGGGCTAAGGATAAGGAGGAGACAGCCAGTCCTGAAATGTCTCCAACCCCAAGAACACTGCACAGAATTCTAAAGCAGCTAAGTCTGTGAGTAAAGGGGTTTGCAGCTCTCCTGAAAACAAGGTCTCAGTTGCCAAGACTTTGCAAAAGGCAGTTTGTTTCAAACCCTGAGGAGCTGCCATCAGCTCAGAAACACAAATATATGGAAACCAACACAGAACAGAGCTGAGGTCTGGAGTCCTCAGCACAAGACAGACATGCACGTTAGAACAGTCCCAAGGGGAGCTACAGATATGATAAGAGGGCTAAAGAACTTCTGTGAAGTCAGGCTGAGAGAGCTGGGGTTGTTCATCCTGGAGAAGAGCAGCTTCCAGGGAAACTTTATAACAGCCTCCCAGTACTTAAAGGGAACTTTCCAAAAATAAAACAGGAAGAACAACACTTCACACAGGCATATAGTGATAGGAAAAGGGAGAAGGGTTTTTAATTAGAAGAGGAGAGATTTAGATTAGATATTAGGAAGAAATTTTTTACTGGGAGGGTGGTGAGACACTGGAACAGGTTTGCCCAGGGAACTTGTGCTGTCCCATTCCTGGAAGTGTTCAAGGCCAGGCTGAATGGAGATTTGAACAATCTGGTCTAGTGGAAGGTGTCCTTACCCACAGCAGGTGTGCTAGAACTAGATTATCTTTAAGGTCACTTCCAACCCAACCCATTCCATGATTCTGGGATTTGAGAATTCAGTCCCAGCTATCCCAGCTTGTATTAACAAGGCAGTGCAATGTCTTGGATCAAACGTTGGAACAAACATCTTGTTACACCAAAACCCCAAAGTTCCCATGCATTATCTTCTACACTAGTTCGGGAGGTCACAGATGCAGGGATCTGGAAGGGTGCTAGACAAGCCCTATTTAGCAGAAGCTGAAGAGTTTTTCTTTTAAAACCTGGATCACAAACAGGATAAGGACGCAACAAAGCTGGAATTTGTTTCTATACAGACTTTACATTGAAAGCTCAAGGCAGCCCTCTGCAAAGATACAGGCTTTGGATGAAGCAGAGAAATAATGAAGGATAAACATCATTAAAGACTCAAACACGAAAGTATGCTGCAAACAACAACACTCCTGCTAAATTTTCTTTGTACCTTCCTTTCAGTGAGTAAAATTATCAGAAATAAAATCCAAGAAATTAATGCAACTTAGAGCATTAACCCAAGATATTGGGGTTTGAGGATGTAAAAAGCAGACACTATATATATATTTTATTTTCACTCTGTAACTACAAGAAATTAGAAGGCGTCTTATTCCAGCAGAAACAAAACAAAAATAAAAGTCCAAAGAATATTGAAACAATATCTAAGTGGTTTGAAACCCCTTGCATTCAGATGGTAAAAAGTCAACATTTGTGTGCTTCTAGCAAAAACTCAATATATGACTCCATGGAATAAGTTCCTTCATATAATTAATATCTTCTTCTCTGTGTCAGATGCTTTGTTTCCTCATGAGATGTATGAAGAAATTAAATCTTCCTGCCAAATTTCTAACCTTCATTATAAAACAAAACAGTGCTAAAGGTTTCCAGGAAAAAAAGATTCCCAGGTTGTCTGACTTCTCTGCATGTAAATAAAATATTTTTCTAGACTAATTTCTGAAATAGCATTCTTAAATTTAATCCAGAGTCATTGTTAAGGCAAACATATACCATAAAATTTTTAGCTGGGAAATATAATATAAAGTTCTAGGCAGTTAAAATAAATTTAAAATTACAATTTTTTTACTTTAAAGAAACATCCCATTTGCTTTCAACAATTATGCCATCTATAACATTGCTAAAAAACACAACATGCAGGGGAATAACATACATACTTCACAATTTTTTTTTAAATTAGGATGGAACACATTTACTAACATGTTTCCCACAAACTACTTATACCCTGCTTTTCAGTTACCACAAAAATTTTTCTGATCTAAACTTTAACAAAGTTATATTGATCAAATATATCACAAACTGATCCAAACTCTTTAAGATTATCAAGTCCAACTCCTAACCTGCATTGCAAAGTCCATCACTAAACCATGCTTAGGTGTCTTTTAAATACCTTTAATACTGGTGTCTCAACTACTCCCCTGGGCAACTTCTTCCAATTCCTGACTACCCCTTCAGAGAATAAATTTTGCCTAAAATCCAATCTAAACCCCCATAGCACAACTTGAGGCTGCTTTCTTCCATCCTGTCACTTGTCCTATTGAATCTCTTACAACTGGCAAAAAGAAAGTGCAAGAGATGGATGTGTGAGAAACAAAAGTAAACAGATGAGAAGTAGGTAAGTTTTATACCTAAGATATTTGGAAAAAGCCATACCTTAAGAGAGATGCTAGGATTTTATAGCATTTTAATAATTCTCTAAAAGCTGATGTAATATTTTGTGATGAGCAAAGAAAATAATGCCTATATTTATTATTCTCTTGCAAAACTTTTTTGTAATACTTTTTATAATACTTTTATAATTTGCAGAATAGCTTTGCAATCACAACTGTCACTGTGGCTCACAAGTGTGAGCTAAAATTTCCTTGTTTGATAATATTTGGAGCGATTTTAAGCACAGCTGGATAGCTGTTCCACCTAAACCTTTTTCAGGCACTCTTAGGGACACCTAGCACTTGTCAAATTCCTAGACACCTACCTGTCTCTCTCTTTTTGCTAGTTCTGCAAGGGTAGTTTTAAGCACCTTCACCTCACTGGTAACTGCTTCTAACATATTTTTGGTTTTTTCTTTATCTTCAGTAGCTTTACGCTCCTTTAAAAGAAGTTCTGATTTGGCAGACCTGAGTTGTTTCTCAGCTTTTTCTTTCATTCTTTCCAATTTGCCTTGAGACTTACTAAGTTCCTCTATTGTTTTGTTCTGTTCCAGAGTTTTGATCTGCAATAGGATAAGAAAATGTTAAATTTGTCATACTTTTTCATCTAACTTGAGCAAGTAATAAAAATATCAGGAACGATCACAAATAAGCACTTTAGTGTGGTTTCTTTTGGGTTCTTCATTAAGTCATCACATGTACATGATGAACTGAACTGAAAAGTAACTAAAGGAGACTGGCCTATTTCAACACAACGAACAAAAAGATTTTTCCTTCAAAGACAAAATTACTTTTCCTAATTCTCTACAGGTTTTGTGAAAAGAGGTATTTGGACATAAAAGAAAATCCACAGCAAGGGTTTGCTCTCTTCCAGCCCCTGGAAAAATAGTAGGAGAAAGAGCTGCCAAATGTTTTGCTGGTAAAAATGGTTCAGTGGAAACACATGCAAAGTTGTCTATTTCACTCCATCAGCTACAAGACACAAAGTCACATAAAATCAATCTCCCCTTCTCTTAGTGGTGTCAAGCTATCAATGGCTGCAAACTACTTGTATTCACCTAAGTAAAAGCAGGTAATGTATTACTACTGCAATGTAATGAAACATAGAAACAATTAAAATTTAGAATCTTGCCTGTCATATTCCCTCCACACCTCTCAGAATAGACCTTCTGTGAGTAATGCATGGGAAAATACATGACAGCCATACCAACAGGAAAGAAAGGAATGCATATATTGTATTTTTCTTATAATAGCCTGAAAATTTACACTGTGCTGTGCAGATGCTACTTAGCATATCAGAACAAACTGTAATATATCCAAAACATTGTAATATTGTATTTGCTTTTGCCATCTAGATTTGAGCAGTTCTCCAAGAACACATTTATTTTAAATGAAGTCCACCTGTATCCAACTGGAATAGAAAAATGGATGGAAGTACAAATGTAATCTTATAACTCACCTTAAGCTCACTGGTTTCAGACAGCTTGGCTTTGAGATCCATATTTGTTTCCCTTGCCAGATCAAGCTGCTTCTGTAGCCTCTCTATCATCTTATGTAACTTTCTGACAGTGAGATTGGCCTCATCCCTTTCCACAGCTAAGGCAGTCCTTACTTGCTTCTCTTCTTCCAGCTGGGTTATTTTCTGCCGCAGAAGGTTCATGTGCAGCTCTCTGCTTTCAAGTTTTTCTTTCTGAGCCTTCAACTTGATTTCCAAACACTTTTAACAGACCCAATTCCCAGCTCTATACCAGTCTGACAAGCCTAAACCCAAAATGACCTATGTCATAACAGGATGACAGAGGGTTGTTTGACCAAAATTGAACATACTTGTTCCTGCAGGAACAACTGAAGGAAGGAACAATTCCTTTTGGAAACATTTCAATTCTTGGTGAAGTACAACCAACACCCTACTAGTTTCTAGAAAAGTTTGTGTAATGTGCCTCCCTCCTTGGCAGATCCCTTTAGATTTAAAACATTAAATTCATTAATGGAAGTTGCTTACAGAACTATAAATGCGTATTAAAAAGTAGACAAATATTTAGATACAAACATCCGTAACTTTATAGTTTTTTTTCTTAAGAAGTTGTGAAAAGCAGTATCATGTTCAACCAACTGGCTGGGTTTAGCTATTTCAAAATGCATTATTTTTGTGCAGTTTGCAAACACTATCTTCTTTTTACATCAAGGACATCTTTGAAATTCCTTACACACATACAGTCTGCTGCCTCCAGCAAGCCACTACAGAAAACACAGCCATACATTAACCTTTGAATGGTACATGTTTTTTGCATACCTTCCTTCGGAGGCTGTATGCCACAGTCTTGTTCTCAACTACCGCGTCACCTTCCAGTTTCACCAACTGCTCTACCCGGGCCAGAATCACATCCATAGTCATATCAAATCCAACCTCTGCTGATAGACTATCCAGCTTCATCTTCTCATTAAGTTGCTCCAGAAATTTAAGATACTGAGATTTGGAAAAGTGGGCAGAAGAATAATAAAGTTTCATTAAAAGCCATGAAGTACAATTTAAAAGCAATCCCCACTAAAATGGCAGCCAACAATTTGTAGCCAGGTATGCTACAAGAAATAATATATTGAGCACACTCCTGACACAACTGCAAATTCTCCAAATGTTGTTTTTTTATTCAACACTTAGTTTGTCCATAACCCCTAGATCTATGACATACGATGTAGTCTGAGGAGATGCAGGAATGTTAACATAGCCAGCCTTCAGCCCTTCTTAGGAACAGCAAGGGTAAGTTACTGGTTTAAACATTGCTTTATTTTATTTGCATCTCCATATGGTTTACTGATGTGAACACATACAGATATCAAATACAATTCAATCCAATTTTTCCTTCTTTTGTTCTGCCCTACCAGCTCTTTAAAAATTGATTTGTCTCTGGCTCTCAGTTAGCTTCTCTTGCAAAATCCAAAACCCTCCTTCTCACTAAGAACTGTTTCCATTTGCTTCCTCTTAGTTCTGGTGCAAACCATTATCTCTGCAAAGAACCAACAAAATAAATAAAAATAATAAAAAAAGCCAACAACAAACCAGTTTCACCATTTGTTCATTCGCAAGAATACCTCTTTGTTTCATGATATTTCTGATAGAAAAAAAATTAAAAACAGCAGCAGAAGAAGAAAGCACTGCAGTTATTCATTGACAGAAAAAAAAAATTGTTAAAAAGATCTCTTAATTGCAGCAAAATCTAGAGAATAATTTAAGAATCTAGGCCACATGTTACTAACAGAGGAAGCAGAATGGAAAAAACAGCTCTTTTTTTCTGGTTTTCTCCCAGTGTGATGGATGCTTCATTCAAAAAGATTATTTTATCATAGTCTAAGGCAAAACAAATAGCACAAAATTGTTGATTCCTCTAAGCATTAATCCTGGCCTGGCAACACGCTACAGCTTTGCTTTTCGTAGCTGTAGTGTTTGGCTTTCCAGGTACTATGTCATTTTTCAAACTCTTTGGTATGCGAATGGGTTACAGGCTAAAAGTGTGTTCATTCATACAATCAGACAAAAAAACCTAGTAGCCATGATTGTCTAATTATATAAAGGAATCAAAGACTACAAGATCTTGAAAGATTGCAGACCAGTGCTCCAGGAGACCAAAGCAATACAATGAGCTGTGTCTCTGCTTTTATTGACTTCTATTCAAAGGTAAATAATGTGTGCAACTACTTTTTGTTTCTCAAGCTTCAAACCATCTTGCATCAGGTCTCCAGTTAATAATTCTTCTTCCAAGTGCTTCACTTGATTGTGGAAATTCTCAGAACATTTTTCAGCTTTCCTGGTCCTCTCCAGGGCTTCATGGTACAATCTGGTCTGATTCTCCAAAGCTTTAGTCAATTTAACTAATTGTGTTTCAAGCTGAGATACCATCTAGGGAGCAAGCAAACCAACAAAGCATATGGGGTTAAGTGGGAAATGCTGGAAAGATATGAAAGATGTATCAACAAATTGTTAAAAACAGGGTAAAATAGCTATCTTTAAAATATATGCATTTAAGAAGTCAAAAAGTAAAGTCTTTAACCACCAGCAAAAAAATTGTAGAAATGGAGACACCCAAAAGTGAACAGCAGGTATTATAAATAAGATGAGTGAAGCAGCTAAAAGGTATTGCTATATATTAAAAAATCAAGGCAAAGTAATTCAGACACAAAATTTCCAAAGATGTGGCCACAGCAGCAATACCTGGCAGTCAGCTATCATTCCTTAAAATAAGCCAAGGAAATCACTATTATTTTGTGGAGTTGATTAGAAAAAGCATAGAAGCTATTTACAAAATACATGCAACATGTAGGAGAGAATGTAGACATGGATAATTAAGTCTCAGAGGAGTGTTTCAAATTGGTATCTGTTAATCACTGTTTAAAAGATTGTGCTTAAAATAATAGCAATAATAATAATAATAATAATAATAATAATAATAATAATAATAATTTCTGTAATCTAGCCAGAGCCCAAGGATAAAAGGATAAAACCTCAAAACATGCAACTAGAACATTTCTAATTCTTCACTGTTAACTTTCCAACACCTGCATATAATGTAATGGCGTTTAAGTTGTAAACTATTTATAAATTAAATGCTTGAAAGTATCTGGCTAAACTACTGCCAAATACTGAAAGGCAGTTCTATACACTAAGCTGCTTGTTTCCCTCTGTCTCTTTCTTACTGTCATGTAATTATTTGGTTACATAATTAATTATATTGCATTTGAAACTCAGTGTTCAGACACTCATGTCCAAGCAGACTCTTCATTTTAAGCATCTTGTTGGTTCCTGTTAATAAAATGAACAGAAGTACATGGAACTCTCATTAATTTTAATGGCACTGAAAGGTTTCCAACTCAAACTGCAGTTAAATACAGTTTTCCCCCAACTTGCTTAAAAAACACTGCTGTTCATACAGTAGCCAACACTAAATAATAATAAATCTGCAACATTATTTATTTATTTTATTTTGTTTATTCTGCAAAATAAACATATTTTATGCTTTTTTACATCTCACATCACCCATCAGGAACAGGAGTTTCAGTAACTTGTTCCCCCAGAGACGTATTGCTGCCAGAGAACCTACAGCCCCTTTAATCAGGTTGCAGAGTGGCTGCAAGGGGATTTTAGAGGCTTCAAAGACCCATAAACATGAGAAAGTGAAGGACTATACCACAGAAGCAGAGCAGAAGCTGTCATTTCAACAGCCTGGGGCATCCTGGTGTAACTTTCATCCTTGGCTTAGGGACTACCCACAAGACAGGCATTTCCTAAAACAAGGTTCCACCTGTTACCCACCCATGCCTGATCCATGTCTTACAAAGGCTGCATTTTTGGTCCTGCAGTTCTGACCTCCACAACTTCTCATTCCTATGACTCATACAGCTTGATCAGCCAGCCTACAAAATAAAACCCCCCTTTCTACTTTTTGCTTTAGTGTGGCTACTAGATAATTTCAAACTACAACTGTTTTGACACAAAGTAAGGTCGGAGTGTGGATCTGCTGGATGGTAGGTAGGCTCTGCAGAGGGACCTGGGCAGGCTGCATCAATAGGCTGATGCCAGTGTTTGAAGTTCAACAAGGTTCAAGTGGTCCTGCCCTCGGGTCACAACATTGCTACAGGCTGTGGAAAAGGATGTGGGGATGCTGGTCAATAGCTGGTTCAGACTGAGCCAGCAATGTGCCCAGGTGGGCAAGAAGGCCAATGGCATGTGTTTGTTCTTTTGGTTTTTTTTAAATACTTCATCAAAATGCAAAGGATATTTTCCAGCCTTGGACAGAATACAAAACTATTTGTTGTCATTAAAAACTATCACATCAGCAGGAGATGCTAGAATTTTAAAATCTGGCAAGAATATCACAGCTGGTTTTCAGTGACTCACTGAAAGCAGCTTTTGATTTAGTGTGTGACTTTTAACAACATAAATAGTCCTCACTGACAAAATTAATAAATTGTAAGCAAGTGACACACTTCAGTGCAGCGTTGGGATACTGACATTGGTTAGGTTGCATTCTGATTCACCTTCCTCCTGAACTGTCCCTTCTCTACCTATACATTCAAACACACCTTTGCAAACACTACCAGACCAAATGCCTCAAGCCAGAGCCTTCTTTGGATGCTGAATGTTTAGCTGTAAGTGTAAAAACACATCTTTATCTTTAGGTGCAGGTTTGAGGATCAAAGTGAAAGAATTTGCGTGTGGCAACTCATCAATTATATCTGCTGTGAGGAAGAAGTCAGTTCTTGAAGTCACCATTGTAGCAGCAAATCCATACTTGTTCACAGGTTTCACTAAATCATAGCAACCAAACAGCCACCTTTGATGTCTGCTGGCACAGAAACCAAATTTCAATGTTGTAACTGAAAGACCACTCCGAGTCTTTTCTTCCTAACAGCATCTATTATTAATTTCATTTCTGAACTCTTTCTGTTTAGTAAAACATAGATGCTTTTCCACTGTTACCTTAAATCAATAGACAACAAAATTAAAGGTTTCTGTAATTTCAAAACCTAAGCAGAAAAGAATTAACACTCTACCAGATGAATAAAATGAAACAGAACCCAAGGAGAATAAATGCACACATTGGACAAGTGCAGTAGTTGCTGACTTACTATTTCTTTATTCTCCTCTTTGCAATTTATTTCTTGGATCCTCTCCAAAATGGTCTTCTCAGAAGGTTTAACTATTTCAGATCCACAGCTGAGCAGGGTAGCAATTTCTTCTTTAAAAGCTTCTAAAGAGTCCTGAGCAGCCCTGGCCTCTTCTCTGCTACTCTTCAAGCTTGCATCTAACTCCCTGGAAGATTTCTTCAGATTGTGCAGTTCCTGCTTTGAGGTGTCCAAAGCTTTCTGGTTAACTGTCAGCTTCTCTTGGAGGTTTCTGATCTCCAGCTCTAAACTCTGTCTCTTTATTATAGCACTGTCAACATCCTAAAGTGCATGAAAAATTAAACAAGATTTTTAAAATTAGTTATAAACCCTCTCCACCACACACAAATTAAGGAATAACTCAGGAGGAGGTACTGCAAGACAGAAATTGATGAAAACCTGAAGTCTGCTGTAATCACATTCAAGACTAACCTCTTATATTTGTTTGCAAAAAAGAATACATAATAAAATTTTGAGGTGAATGAAACCATTTTTTTTATTATAAAACTACTGATATCTTACTTTTCCCTCCAGATAGTATGACCTGAAAACAAGCAGTGAAAAAGACGTATCACACATAAAGCCAAAGTACTACAACTGAGAGGGGAAAGGACAGAATAGAGTAGGATAGAATAGATTATTTCAGTTGGAAGAGACATGCAGTGATGATCAACTCCAACTGCCTGATAATTCAGAGCTGACCAAAACAATAGACACAATCTCCCTGAATACAGTGATGAGGTGATCTCTGAGATCAGTTTATCTGACTGCAACAGAAGATCCTGAGATTATTATTCACAGAAATGAGAAGTGAGGGACAAGACAAATCAAGGCTTGGTTGGGAAGGAATAAAATATAGCCATACATATGTATCTATATCAGTTGTACAGAAATACTAACCTAACAGGTCACAGCAGACAGAAAGAATTGTGCATCCTGACCCATGACACCAAAACAAATAATGACAGAAAAAATAAAGAAAAATAACCACCTAAACATAAAGAAATAAAGTATTGTGTGTCTCTCCTTTCCCCACAATACCAATATTAAGAGTGCTTACACATACAAGAAAAATATTTGCACCAAGGCCAACTAAAAGTACAGCAAAGACTAAGTCTTCATTTCTCAGGGCATTTTCTGATTGGTAAGAACAAATGGGAAAGTGTATTATTTCACACATGACACAAAAGGAAAGAGTAATATTTTGCCCATGACACAAAATTGCTACAGAGTATGGAATATTTACAGAGAGGTATTGGATTCTTCTGGAGGTCTCAGTGGTAAGTAAAGGGTCAGTAAGTGGACTGATATGAGTTAAGATTATGCACACTGGAGTTAAAGAACTGTTCCTGAAGCAGTTATGAATATGGTGATTACTCAAGGGTCTCTCAGGGTCCGTGTATGCTTGCTGTGGAGCGCAGCATGTCATTTGTATTAATGGAATACCTGCCAATCAAGCAGTTAAATCTGGGAGCATTTCTGTAGATCAGCAGGGAGGGTGGCCAAAAAAAAAGGAGTTTACAGGGCACCTTTAGAAAAAAAATATAAAAATATGATACTAAAAATACTAAAATTTTTAATAGCGGTGAAAAGGCAAACATACAAAAACATAAATAACAACATTTAGGAAATAATTTGTTTTTATACCTTTCTGAAGTATTTTTAGAATTGTTTTACAAACAAATGTTGGCCTGATTCCTTTCTAATTTCTCTTTTTAATTCTAGACAAGTTCTATTAATAGAAAATTCCCACTTAAGTAGTGCTCAGAACTACATTATGGTAATTACAGCAAAGAACAGAGTCATTTATTTCAATTACAATTTTCAGCAGTGCGTATTTTTCCTTTCAGAAAGGCAGTGCTAAAACAGTTTGCCAGTACCAGGGAACTTACCTAATCACCATCTTGCTAAATTGTGAACATCTGAAAACATAGTTTATTCAAAAGATCAAGGTATAAAATAAGGAAGTGAAAGCCACCAAACAACGTCTGGGAAACTGCCTGGCAGAAAAGGACCTGAGGGTGCTGGTTGACAGTGGCGGAACATGAGACACATGTGTCCAGGTGGCCAAGAAGGCCAATGGCATCCTGGCCTGGACCACCAAGAGTGTGGCCAGCAGGAGCAAGGCAGGGATTGTCCCCTGCATTCACACTGGTGAGTGACATCTGGAGTGCTGTGTTCAGTTCTGGACCCCTCAGTTCAGGAAGAACATTGAGGTGCTCTGGTGTCCAGGGAAGGGCAGCAGAGCTGGTGAAGGGTCTGGAGCAGAAGTCTGATGAGCAGCATCTGAGGGAGCTGGGGGTGTTTAATCTGGAGAACAGGAGGCTCAAAGGAGACCTTATCACTCTCTACAGCTGCCTGAAAGGAGGCTGGAGTCAGGTGGGGGTGTGTTTCTTCTCCCAGTTCAGAAACATAGGAAATGGCCTTGGATAGTGGCAGAGGAAGTTTGGATTTGTTATTAGGAAAAAATTCATCATCAGAAGGGCTATGAAGCACTGGAACAGGTTGCCCAGGGAAGTGGTGGAGCCACCACCCCTGGAGGTACTGAAAGACTTGCAGACTTAGGAACAGGTTGAGTGGTGGGTTTGGCAGTCCTGGGTTAACAGTTGAACTCCATGAACTTGCAGGTCTTTCCCAACCTAAGTAATTCCATGGTTCTATCGACACCCCTATCAGCAGCATGGTCTCAATGGACCGAGGACAACTACACATACATATACAAAAGAGAGCCCACATTACATTAATAAGAGGGGATTAAAGACAATACAGGTATTTTCCAGATGAATTCTTACATCAGCTACACTTCCAGTTACTACTGTTATACCATAAGGATTGTAAAACTAGTTTGCTCTTATCTCCCATCTTCTCAAATGATTCAATCTGGAAATATCTGTGATGCCTGCTGAAACCTGTCTCTAATATGTATTTTCTTAATGACATCTTATAAACAAAAACAAAACAAAAAATCCAGGTTCTGAGAAACTCATTTCTGGATTTATCTGTTGGGACAAGAAAAACTTAAAATCATGTGGCTGTCTTTCCTATATTTGGATATATTCAAAAATGTAGCCATATTTCTCAAGTTCAATCAAGTTCCTTAAATGTTTTCATATTTTAATTAACCCTTTTCATACAATTGATTTATTTTAATAAATTTATATTGATTAGAAACTACCTAGATCTATTTTGTTCATTAACATAACAATATAAACCAGTACTGAAGAATATTTTCTTGGTTAATTTTTCATCAGTAGTACATACAGATAAATTTGTACTAATTAAAATTGCTTGCTTACACTTCAAGTATGTTCTTTAAAGATTTTGCACGGTGCACATCTTTGCAAAAAAAATGTTTAAAATAATACTTCAGAAGGAAATCACAAATATTTCCAGACTGAATTGTCAGCAAAGATGTGAAACAGAGCAAGACAGTTTACTAGTTCTTGTGGATCATCAGTGGTAATGCTGTATTTAAATTAATCTGGAAGAATATATGCATCCTTTCCTATACCTCAGATAAACACCATACAGGAATTTATTAAATATTAAAATGAAACTTGGTTGGAGTAAATAAGACATTACAGACACTCTCAAAGACTGTTACAATTCTCCAGTTATGATTATCATAATCAGTAAACACTCTCTAGAAATACAGAAAGAAATTTCAGGTATTCTGCTTCTCAGTCTAAAAATTTGGGCAGAATTTAAAAGTTGTTTTTCATTAAATGTAAATTTGATATCCAGTGCAGCCATAATAATGGTATGCACAATATTTACAAATTTCCAGAAGCAAAATCTTGCAATATTCTATCAGAAATATGAGCAATTCAGAAATAAATAGAAGAGTGTACTCAGAAATAAATAAAAATAATAGATTAGAAAAAAAACATTTTCTTGCATTGCTTTTTTTACTTTTATTAGTTTCAAGAATTATTGGTTTTTATTCTTTGCTGCTTAATATTGTCATGAAGTGAGATGAAGAGAACAGATAAAATTACTGTTCACTTAGTTAATGTTCCTCAAATAAAGCCCAGCTAACTGCAACAAATACTCAAGTACCAAACATGCTAAAGACTATTTTAAATAGTCTTTTAACCTTAAAACATAATTAACTGGCTTTCATTTTATTCAGTAAGAATTTTTGAATTCTGAGGCAGCAACCTCCTCCTGGGACATAAAAAAAGGCACGTGATCAAGAGAAGGAGTTCATAGAAGTCCTAAAGAATGGGAGTGGAGAACTACCTGGCAATTAAAACAGACAATTATTCCAAGGGGTGGCAGGGAACAGTGTGGTGGCCAAATCTTGGTGGAGATGACTGACAGAACAGTGTGATAGTCTCTATACGCCTAGGAAGAATTTTAAGAGAAAACTGGGGGACATGGGCTGCCATCTCAAACTGTAATACTGAAGATGGCCAAAATGTCTGGCCCTGAGAGCTGTAGGCACATGTAGGCAAGAGTCACTACTCAGCCTTTGCTGGACAAATTCAGCTACAGGCCATTCCATTAATTAAGTCCAGAAAACAGCCCAGAAACACACAGCCAAGTATGAGTCTTCTGGCACAGAACAGCTTGGATCTCTGCTTCTCACCCTGACAGAGGAACATGTCACAACACACGCAACTCCATTCATGTGTTTCAGCTGTGCAGCATGAAGGACGTGGGGAAGTCAGACTGACTTAGGCCACTGGTACCCCTCCTGTAACCAAGTCAGACACCCATCAAGGGAACAGGGGATCCCTCACTTCACATGTGAGGACACAAAGCATTTTTTTGTTTTTTGCTTCCTTTTTCAATACTGAACTTCTTCATACGTTTTGTAAACACAAAATCTCATCAACAGATTTGCTCAGTGTCTGCAAATATAAGTGGCTAAACTGAAATTGCACTGGAGGAATCTGCAGCCTCTATGCAGATAGGGCTTTTTCTGTAAAATTGCTTAAATAAATTATGTATTTGGCACATGCAAAATAATGATAGGAAAATATTTTTCAGAAAACCAGCTCAGCTTGGTAAATGTTTTGGCAGTTAGAGCAAATTTGAAAAACAAGCCATAAATGGAGCCGTGATCTTGGTTTACAACATCTCCTGATTCTGGCTCACTGAGTAAACTACACTCTGTTCTTCCTTACACACCTGTGTTTGAAGTGAAGCATGAAAACAAAATGTTCTCCAAAAGGACCTGTTTAAGATTTTGGTACAGGTTCTGCCTCAGTTCAACTGAGTATTAGAAAATTGTGCACAGCTTGGTAAGAACTATTTTCAGCAGTAAGTGAAATTTATGACCCTTGTGGTACTTACATTTATCTTCCCCACAAATTCTTTCTATTCCAGAGCACACTGCCAGCTATTTCTCATCTCCTAAGTATTTTGCTTCCAACCAAAGCAGAACACTATATCCTTTAAAGTGTATGGTGGGTGTCTCTTCTTCAGGAAAAGAATGTCAGGAGTGGGGAAAATGCCATATTACTTTGGAAAACTCACTTGCACAAGGTTGCCTTTGTGTTAAAAATTCCTACCAACTCAATCACAACTCAGATACATATTTGGCAGTCTAAGTTTCTTCTCTTCTCACGTTCCAGCCATCAGCTTTAACCATACTGTTTCACCTGCAGGAATCTTCATTCTGGCTTCACTGAACTGCTTCCTTTCTACAGACTCCACTTTCCATCACTCAAAGTGCAAACCAGTAAGGAAAATTGCTACAGAAATGCACTATGTTCATCCACCCTTTGAAATATGCAAATTCTTAACACGAAGTTCTCCTGGAACAATTCAATCCTTACATCTTTTCCTTCACAAATCTTAGCTAGGTGAATTTGGTGAATATTTGACTTAAAACTTAACTTATATTTCTCATCTGACCATCCTTCCTGCTGCATAGATTTTCTCTTAAGACTTCCCAACAGTGAAACAGTGCTTTCCTGCAAGAGCCATCCTACTGCCTACAACTTTTTGGGAATGAGCCAATGGTTAGGAAATACAAATTTATAATGCAGTGAAAAGATAATCTAGGGTGTATGGAAGCCAAGACACTTTACTGTCCAATGCCTTAAGAGAAAGTATAATGTCCTATCAATTCCTTTCAATTTCTCATTAGAATTTTTTAAAAACTGAATAGAAAAAAAAAACTCAGGAAACTTGCAGTAGCAGATAAACGTTATTTAAAAGAGTGTTTTTCACCACTGAATGCTTGTCCCTCAGATATTAACAATATACACATTAATTTATTTACATGACTGTGCAAGCACAAAGGCTGTAGCTAAGAAGAAAGCAAAAATAGAAATTTGCAAACAGCATTAAAAGACATCACATCTGCCTCAGATCTGTTTGACAAAATGTTATTGTTTAATCTTCATATCTCACTTTCAAGAAATTGAAAATAAACTTAGGAAAATGTCCTTTTTAGAAAAGACCCTAATCAACATAATTTTTCCAGAACCATCATTTCTCATGTAATACCTATTGAAAATTAATCTGAAATTTCAACAAAACATTTGAAAACCAGACAAGCATACAAGCCTTGCAATTACGTACCTTACTAAGTTTTTCCATGTCTTGGTAGTATCCAGCTGCCTTTTTCTGCTCCTTGGCCACTTCTGAAACTAGTCTCATGATAGTTTCTCTGTTAGCTTTAGACTCCATCTCATGGACATTCACAGCTTCTTGAAGAGCAGCAATTTGGTCTTTTAGTGTCACATTTTCTTTACATATTTCAGAGACCTTGAGAAATAAATCAAATATTAGCAGCTTCTAAAAAGTTCTTAACAATTAAAAATATTCACCCCAGTTATACCTGCTCCTAATCATGCCAATAAAGACTCAGTTTATGGTGACCCCTAGGTCAGATTTATAATTGCATTCTACCATTCCTTTAGAAAAAGAATAGAAAGTTAAAATCATAGAATTATATTCTCACTACAAACCCCCACCTTCACATAATGTGACTCAGATTCACTCCCACACAGATCTTATGATGTATTAAACAGGTGGAGAGCTACTGCTGCTGCATATCCATGCTTGACATGCAGCGGGTCAGAAAACAGACCATGCAGCTACTTCATGTGAAAAGCAAACCATTTCAGCCCAGCTTTTTAAGATGTGTGCCTTTCATTTGGAACAAGAAAGCTGTAATTCATGCCCAGAACTTTTTAAGCATGAGAGGTTTGAGTTAGTAACTTATTTCATAAGCACATTCAAAGACAAGGCCAAATACCTGGTGTGCTGGCATTATGAGCAGCCAACACTTTGGAAAAAAAGAGTCCTTTCCAGGAGGATTCTAGGGCTGTTTTGGTACGCTATGCTATTTCAAATCAGTGGAATAGATGAATATGGGCACTTCAAAGAGTGAGCAAAAAATGTACCCTTGATTCTTACTGGCAAGACATTTGTTAAGACTAAAACAGGATCAATTCTGTCTTAAATAAAACCATAATGTGGAAAAGAAGCTAAATAGATGTGCCAAGACCCCAGAAAAACTAGTTGCTAAGGTTTCCTAAGGCACAGCTTTCAGCACAAATTAGATTTCCCAGCTAGATTTACTACTACATTGTTAAAAGACATGAAGATATGGTTTTAAGCTCTAATTATTAACTTATTAATTGTTAAAGCATGCAAGAGTACATCTTGTGTGACAACATTTTTTAGAGCATCTATTAAAATTTCAATGTGCTTGCAATATTATGTAATATTACGAGGGTGTACACCCACTGGATGATATATACCCAGATAATCTTGATTTATTAAGACTGTAATCTTACAATGACAAGAATTTCCCCAAATACCTATTGTGCTCCAAAGTGAAGAAAAATAAAGATCAAAGAATAGACAGAAGATGAGTGAAATGCGTAAAATTAGAATAAAACGTCTTTCAGCAGCATTGATAGATCATAAAGGAATATACAGACAATTTTCTCTTCCTAAATGGAAGCTTAGTTTTTTCAAACTTCAGAAGTATTCTGAAGTGAAACAATAAATTTTTACTATTAAGTCTCAGAAACACCACAAAGTTATTTACAGCATTTTATTACAGGACACTGTAGGGGTTATTTTAGGGCATGCCATTTCAGATATTTGTATGAAATGGTATGTCAGCTCAAGATAAAAGTTAAGACCCAGTGTTACAGTTTACACATCACCTGTTGACCTCCATGTTAATGTTTTAAGGAAAGCTTTTAACCAAGTACCTGATCAGGGCTGTATGTGGAAACTGCAGGCTGATAAATTATTTATGCAGGTAAGAGCAGACCGAGTTCACTGAGGCCTATTAGTGTGCAGCACCTTTGAAGATTAGCCCAGTACAAAAAAAAAAATCTGTCTTTAAATGATAGCACTGTATGCAAACCATAATTAAATTCAAAGATCTCTATCATTTGCTTCTGTGACAACTAGGTATTTTTCTGTTAAATCACTGTAGAAAAACATTTGCCTACACAATCACCTTTGATGTTAAATGTTCCTGTGGTTTCTCTTTTTCTCTGATGTCTATGTCCAAGAATCCAGAAAGATGTGTAAGGAGCTCTTCATAGTTTTTGCTGATTTTAGAAGCTTGAGTCATGTCTTCCTCACACTCATTCAAATATTTACTAATCAGACAGAAAAAAATGTACACATAGGGATGAATGTTCCCTGAAAAAGAATTCTAGGCAAAATACATTGTCCCAAAACTATTGCTGGCTTCTACATACCACCAAATGAACTTTAAAAATTACATTTAATTCTCTATATGTTATGTAAAACATGTAACTTTTACTACTGCCTTATGTGCAAACATTTCTTCATCTTTGCTTTTGATTAACACTTCAAAAAATCTTCTATGATCTCAATCTCATTCACCAAATTTGAATAAAACACAAGAACCAAGTGACACGAATAAATAGTGCCCTCAAGATACTGCAAGTGGAAAGTGCAAGCAAAAGCTTAGAAAAAGTAAGTGGAGGGGAGAGAGTGATCAACTCTTAGCAAAAACATGTGAAAAGCACTTCACATCCCCTCTTTAAAGAAGCTGACAGAGATGATTAACAAACTTCAAGTAAAGAGAAGCCTTTCTGGACCAATGGAAGTCTGAGACATCCAGAGTAGCTGTGAAGGGAAGTTTGCCAGCAGAAGCAGAGATGGGAGACACTACTTTCCTGCACAGTACTCTGAAGCACTACTCATGAAAGGGATGCATTTAAAAAGACAGCATCTAGGGTCTACCACAAAGATATGAGGAAAAGGGAGTCAGTAATTTCATCACTCAACAGGTGCCTACCATGCAATGCATATCCCACACGAAACATGTTCTCAGCCTTAAGAGCAGGCGTCAGTTTGTAAGTGTTCTGCAAGAACAGCCAACCAAATAAAATACCAGTGAATTTAACTCATTAGTAGAAATGTCTTGACATTCCTTCCCTTGCCAGGGACAAAGATGGGTCCAGAAAACAAGAACCACCACAGTCTGATTCAGTAGGAAATACAGAAAAAAATCTTGCTCATTGAAACTCACATCACTTATGGAAAACTACAGAGAAACTGGTTAGCAAAACCAGCCAACCAAACAGAGCTCAAAACAACTAGTAGTGTAATCCAAATGTCAACTCCAATGCCTCTCAGGAACACCCACAAGTGAGGTACTTAAGGGTAGAGCTCAAGACATGGTAGATTGGTAGTGGTAAATTTGCAAGACAAGCAATTGAGCTTCCATTTGAAAAGCAAAGTTCTTTCTAAAGCAACTTCTTCCCTCTATAATAAATCAAGAGCTGAGATGTAATCAAATGTGTGTCTAGAGCAAATATTTTATTGAAACTCATTTTCTTATCTGAGCATAGCACTATTCTCAGTTTTCAAGGTGGGCACAGTCATTGCTGGACTCATTCTTTTCCATTTCTGACTTCTTCCTCTCTAGGCTGGCAATCAAACAGACCATCATAACCAAAGCGCTGCATGAGACTCCAACAGGAGATGCACAGTGAGCGCAAACACAGCACTTTGAATGCTTATAAATCAATAAGCAAAACAGTCCATGAAAAGATATAACACATGACCTTAGGAGGGAGATCAACATAGCTGCTGAAAATGCTGCAAAGTGAAAGAGAGTGGCATAATAACGGAGAGGAATGGTAAACATTCATTATTGCTCTGGACATTGTGCTGCACAGCACATACCACAAGCCAAAAGAGCTCTGCCTTCTGCAGAACACAAGCACCCTCACAGCTTCCTCACCTCTGGGCACCTTCCTTTCCTCTGTAGCCCAAACAAAACTGAACCATGAGATGATTGCTAAACTGTTGTTGTGAGGACGGATGTGTCAGAAGTGAAAATATTTTAGGCTCAGACATGCCATATATGCATGCCTATATGTCAGAATATTATGTAAGATTGACCATCAACCCCACAACTGCTCTGTGGCTCTAAAAAATTGAGGTATCCACTCACAAAACCATGCCTGCTGCTAAGAATAACGAATCTTAAGTACAAAGCACTCACTTGATAACTTTACGAATAATCTAATTACCTGCAGTAGGGCTGTAAAGGTGTGAGCACCTAGAAAATAGGCAGTCAGGTACAAAAAAGTAGAACACAGCTTTTTCACAGTTTTGCTAGCTCTTCAGAACTAATGAGCAAAGAGAAGGGAAGGAAAAAAAAGAAGAAAAAAGCTTTTGACGGTTCACACTTTAAAAATACCATGGCAATAGACATGTTGAGTAGAAAAGCACCATTTTCAATAGGAGAGGTGCACATCCTGGAACCGAATCATAGCATTCACCAAACATTTCTTACTATAACCCCAAGGTATAGAATGTAAATATGCACTTCATGTGTGCTGGCTTGCTCTTCTCCCTTTCATTAGTGGTTTTCAGTGAAAATCTTTTTTGCACACCTAATTAGGACTAGTCATGCACCAAGTACTACCAGGGTGGCCAGACTAAGTGATTGAAATTCACTGAGTCAACACACTGGTTAGTATAAAGTGACATGTGTTAGCTGAAGATGACAAAAAGCTTTGGAAGCAAATACTGCACATTCACCAGCAATCCAACATGTTTGTTCCTTCCAAATGAGCAGACTATTCCTGTATCTCTTCCCTTTTCCCAGAAGTCCAGCGGCACTGGACTCCAGGTGCGCAGTAAAGCAGAGCTGGGATTCATAGAGGTGGAAACAGCTTTTTATTTTGCTCACTTCTCTCTTGGATCAGTTCCCTGGTCTTGATCACCACGCATCAACACAAACAGAACAGATTACACAAGTGCTGTATGCCAAAGAGAGCAGCCAGCACTGCTCTCTGGGAGTGACAGCAGAGATTTATGCCCATAAAAACGATTGTACCGCTATAATGACAGGCGAGTATGAAACACAGTATTTCAGAATTTTTCTCCCAGTGAGTCAGGCAAACAAGTAGGATACAAGCTTCTTCTTCCTTTTACTTCTTCTTTTCTTTTTTTCCTACCAGAAGTAGCACTTTAAAGACTCTTAACAGCCATTATGTAAGACTGCACTCTGCAGGCAGGGCTTCTGGCAAATCAGCTGGTAATAAACAAGTGCACTGGAATTGTTTTCTCCAAGTTTTAAAATTACTTAATTATTTACTTTTAATGCATAAAACCTGGCAGAGCTGTGCAAAATACCGATTTGAGAAATGAAAGTGTCTGGTAAACACTCACTTTGCTCTTGACTAGACAGTATTGACAGAGTCACAAATATTGGTCTGATAATGGACAGAAAAAAACATTATCAAAGTCTAGGTTGTCTATTAATATGATTGACACTGATTTTGGAATTTGAAAGTTCATAATATTTTCACACCAATCAATTTTGCTACAAGTCTCCATCCTACAGACCCAAAACATGAGCAATTAGATAGAGCTGACAGATCAGTGCTCTGATACACTGTGCTAAGAACAGTACAGTTAAAGGATACTATCTTTTCCAGTTTAATGCATTTTACCTTCAAAGTACAAAACACTCAAACCTCTATGAATGGACTAACAACTCAAAACAAAATTCAAATTTTAACACCTTCCACACACTCAGGCACTGTAACAGAATACAGAACTGCAAAAAATGTCTATCCACCAATTTATTTTTCTGTATTGACAACTATACCATTCCATCATACCCCCAAAAAAAGGTTTTTTCTTATCTCACATGACTCTTACTTAAGTTTGGTACTTTTCTCATGAAGCTCATCCTTCAGCTCCAAATTTTCCTTATATGTCACCTGAGCTGACAGCTCAGCCTGGTTTTTAGAAGTGGCGAGCACACACAGCTCTTCCTCCATCTCCTGCATTCGTGTTTGCAAAGACAGGAGGCGAGACATCAGTCTAGCATTGTTTTCCTTATAACTTTCAGCTTCAGCCTTCAGCTCTTGAAAAGAAGCTTCTTTATTGATGATGGTAGACCTGAGTTTAAGAAGCTATAGATAAGAAAAGGAGAAAATCAATGAAGAATAGTTTTTCCAGCCTGAAATAACATGACTCTTCTACAAGCTTAGTAATGTGACAACACATTTCTATCACTACAAGACTGAGTAGAGGGACATGACTTTACTTTTGTGTGACTAGAAAAAAGCAATGGAAGAAGTTTGTAAAAACAAAAGCTATTGCTGGGTAACACAATACAACTTTTCAAGATACATCTTACAGGAAGATAAGTTTATTTCCTAATTCAGAATTTAGGAAAACTCTAACTTAAGTTCTGCTGCACAACCTTAACTCATGTCTCCTATGTATCTGGATTACAGCCAAGTTATTAACACCACTATTCCTTCTTTTTTGCCTGCTATATGCCTGCTTCCAAATTTGGTGCTCAGTTCCACATATAATCTAGAACTGCATGGAGTTGTAAAGTGTCCTTCTGTATGAAAGTGGAGCCTTTCAATGGTTTGAGGCATATTCAGAAGCAAGTACATTTTTGAAGGACCACTATGTGGTAGACACCCTCTTCTCATCTTCTGCAAATAGTTATTTTTGGGTATGACAATCCAATTAAATATAGCTCTATTTACACAGAAACAGCAATAGAGCCTTTTAAGGAAGGGTAGGAGGAGGAAAATCACCCTCACATATTAAAGACCTCTTACAGGGATGATGCTAGAGTTTTCCAAGAGTTCATGGAGTTCACTAGATTTTCCTCTGTCTTTTTATTAAAAACACCATTTTCCATTGAACCATTTCTGCTAGAAGCTGCAGTCTCTCTCCAGGAAACTGTGCTTGAGGGAGACTCACCAGGCAAACAAAATTTTCTTTTTTTTTCTGTTATTAGGAAAGGAAATTATTAACTGTAATTTAAAGTGGGCATTTTTGTCTCAAGAAACATTAAGGCATGTTTCAGCTTTCCTGACAATTCCAATTAAAAGCAGCAAGATGCAATCTGAAGGACTTCTGTCCTATCACATAAAATTAACTGGCAAATAATTAAGCCAAATTAACTGCTCTTTATGATGAGTGATGGAACTTCTACATTGTGGCAAACATTTTGAGGCAAAAATATTTAAGACATTAACCTGCAATCCAGGACAATGGGAAATTCACATCTCTGTTGGAGTCCTTGAGTATGACCAAACCCAAGATACTTAGAGAAATTTGAGAGGCTGGTGAGCCACCAGAACAGCAACTACCTTGGAAAAGGGAGGTCCTGCTTCTCCTCTTTCCAGTCACACACTCCTGTCCTCTCTCTCACACCACCTCTGTGTTTGTCTGATTCCCTCACAAACAACCTAAATAACAACTGATAGAAAACAGTTCACTTCTTCTCTCGCAGAGGAGAAAGAGAATCACAGAGCAAAGGCTAATGCTGAGAAATCAAGGATGAGGATCACCCTTGCAGCAGCAGCAAAGAGTCCAATAAGCTTATGCTTCATGTGCAAGCGCTGCTTTATCAGACACTCTGGAGCAGCACTGAGTTTGAGAAAAGCTGCTTGGCTTTCTCCTGGGTTCCTGGGCTTCATTCCCATACTCCACCCTCCTTTTTGTGCTAGAACACTTACATGGCTACAAGGTGAAGTAAGATTGGGAAACTGATCTGACTAAAAAGCAACTTAGAAGGAGAGGAATTATTTTTCAGCTGCATCCACACAACAATGCACCGTAAAAACTACACATGCACAAGGGGTGGGGCAGTGTGGGGAAGGAAATGAGCAGCTGAAGGAACAATAGCTTGCTTTGCTTGGCAGCTGGACCAAGCAATGGTATCTTACAGTGTTCATAACCTTAAAATTTCTCTGTGGTTCAACTCCCCATGTGATATTTTTTTGTCTGTCCATTGTCTTTGTGGTCAGTTCCAACAGCAGAAAAAGCAAGAATAATTCCATACTGTGAGTTTTACAGAGCACTCAGCAGAACAAGGCTCTGACCTCAGCTGGGTCATGAAGGGCTTTATTAACAAGAGCATGAACAGCTGCTTTTTTGACTATGCTTTTGCAAGCACTGTCTTGAAAAATCTATAAATCAGTCAGACTTTCTGGCAATAAAGCCATTCAACATTTCCAGTAATAAATTCTTTTGTTTGAGAACATTAGATTCTGTATGGCTTCTTAAAATTTAAATTTAAAGCACCAGTTCTGGATAAATGTTAAATGTAGGAGAACCCTGCAGTAACTTCAGGACCAACTGATCAAATTAGACATCAGCCAATGGACACTTATGCCTGTAGTTCTGTATGTAAACAAATGCAAGCATTTCATGTCTTTTAGAGACAAAATTTACTCCACTTTAAAACTGACCAAACCCACATTGATAACTTCAATCAAATCAACTTTAACTAGTTATATGTTAAAAAAAAAATTACTTTTGGAAATATCACAAATCTAAAAATTATCCTGTAATAAATCCTCTCATGAGAAACACCATCTACACAGCAGGAAGAGTAGAAAAGTATGTGTATGTGTTCTTCAGCCTCTCTAGCTACAATCAACTCATTAGCAGAAACACAATTTCAAGCAAATTTAGGGAGCTATAACTTGAATTAAAGGGAGAAGTAAGTAAAGATGAGCAGCTAGATCTTAACTCACTAGCAAGAAGAGGAGGATATCTACCTAAATGTTTACACAACCACAATTTAATTAATTTTCAGGTTTAATATAAAAATATTGCACTTAGATGATGGTGACAAAAAGATACACTGCTTCAAATCTTCCAAATACAAACTTATATCAGTTCTTGATCACAGAATGAAGCAAAGTAAAAATCACACAGACATTCTAAAAACAAAACCCCCAAAGTTCTGTAGCAAAAGCAAGTTTTGGGCTTTCTGCAAGCTTTCTATTCCCTACATAAGGTGACTGCAAAATATCCTCACGTTTGGAGAAGGATTTGAAATTATTTTTAGATGTACCTCTGACTGGGCACAGTCATACTTCACTGAAAGTGCTGCAAGTTCACTCTGAGCAGTTTCAGCTGCAGCTCGATAGTGATTCATCTGCTCTCTAGAGACAGGAATATCCAAAAGAATGGGATCATGAGATTCCTGTGAAGACACGATGAAGACAAAACCATTAGACACCACATTTTTTGAACACTTTCTCTTCAGTGCTTTTTTGTTTGATTAAGCTGCTCAAGGGCATTACTCCAGATGTTCCACAGTATTATTCCCAGTGTTATTATTATAACACACACTTACTGAAAAATAGGTTAAACAGTCACTTTTCTACAAGTCTCCACTTTCATCTCCAAGTTCAGCCACCAACACAAGTGCTAAAGTAAGACAGTCCGCCTCAACAATCCCTGATCTCCCACTGTTTTCAGCCCTGGCTATTTCCAGCAGCTTCTATATATTTAGTAAAATTCGAAAGGTCCCTTTTTTACAAACTTACCCAGCCACTCTTTCAACCTGTGTAAGCTTTAACTGAAAGGGAATCCCTCAGGTGTCTCCTATGCAAAGAATCACTTTGGTTTTCAGTTTTCAGTTATACTGCACATCCCCTCATTTTTCCTTCAGAAGAAATGTTGAAAAAAAGCAATGGCTATCCATCTTCTCTGTGCCACTCATGATTTTTCAGATTTCTATCATATCTCACCTCCACAGTGTCTCTATCAGGCTGAAGAGCCCATACCTATTCAGACACTTCTATCTGCTCCTCCAAGTCACTTTTTGGCTTGCCATTTGCTTTTTTACTTCTAACCTTTCAAGGTTAGAGGTCCTGCTGAACTCACTTGGACACAACTTCAGCTTCCTGACTGATGCTTTTTCATCCCCAGCCATCACCATAATGACTTCCTTTCATTCTTTTTCAAGTCCTGATTCCATGACAAGCACTGCCTCTGTCTTTCTAGTACAGTCTCCTTCACACCACTTGTACAACCCTTTTAGCTGTGCCCTTTAGATTCTATAGTAAGCTTTCTCCTTTTTGTGGTGTTCTGCTCTTCTACAGTAGAGCAGGAATGTGCTGGATTCCTCGGCCTTTATTACTTAAGTCTTTCAAGATGAAAATTCAGACCTGAAGTCTTGGTAGAGTTTCACTAGACAGAGCTTTTTTTTTCTTTTTTTTTCCCCAATCAATAGTAACTAAAAATGATGAAATGCAACCTCTTCAGAACAGACCTAAGTTTAGGTTATGCTGGGAGCACACATGGCAGAGAACTGAACATGAGATTTGTACTCCATCAGCTCTCACACAGGACTGAAACAAAACTGCAATCCTGGTACATTTGGGTATGAATTACAAAATTACAGATAATGACTGATGTTGGAAAAAGGTATTGTGATGGACACATAGACATCTTCTCTTCATGTTTTTATATATCAGCATCAATTTCCAGGCTGAGATAAATTACAAGTTCAGCCCCTACCCATTCCAAATAGGGGAAAAATAAAAACCTGAAGAGCTTTCCAAATAGGTGAACATGTAGTAAAATAAGCATTTACCATGCAACACATAAAGAAATCCCTGAGGAATAAGGAAAAACTAGTAGTTTAGACTGCAGCAGAAGATAAATCACCTTGGATTAGTTGCTGTAATACAACCAACTCTATTCTTTAATCTTTCTTCCCTGTGCTAGCTGACACTAGATTAGACCCATCGAGTTTAATTGCATTCATCTCCTTCAAAGACACTCAGCTGTGCTCTTCCACAAAGGAGTTGCCACTCTCATCAAGCCAGACTGACAGATGCAGAAAACTCACGGCCACACAGAACACAGCACATAATCTTGGAGATAAAAGGGCCGCTAATTTTCTCAACACTTTATCACTGTTCTGAGGGAGTAAAGGAAAGCATGTGCCATCTCCTCACTGCTTTTGTCTTACTTTTGCTTGTTTCACATGTATAAACTCTGCTTGTTTCACACGTACAACCACATGAAATTCTTTAATGTAGACAGCATTTTTCTCATTCTGTAATACACCAGGGCTCCAAAACCATGGATGGAGATTGCAAACAATAACGCTGGGTATGCTCATCATGTATGTTATTACATTTGTAGTACTGCATGAATGCAGATTTTTTCCTTTTCTTCCCTAAAAAAACACAATTTATGACTTCACACAAAGAAGGAGTACATCTCAAAACTGGTGAAATAAATACATTTCAGAGCATAGCTGAAGAAAAGAAGTCCCCATTCAGCAGCAACAATCACTGTTAACAGCTTTAGAGCTGAAACTTCCAAAATCTATGTTTTTCATACATATTAGATTTTTAAATGATGAGCACTTTAAAGATGCAGCTACACATTCAGAAGGATTTAAAAGAAGTTTAAATGAGGCCAGGAGCCAAGGTCAATGGGAATTACTGTTCGACTCATCTACACTCTTTGTGAGATTTACAGAGGCCAATCTCTGCATCCTCCAGTGCCTTAGTAAATATAAAACTAATCATGGTGGCACCACACTAGGAAAGTTGGTATTATCATCATACTTTTAACAGGAAACATGCATGCTCTAAAATTAATATTTTTTTATATTTCTGTGGGTTGCCATCAGCCAGTCACAAGTCTGATCTTTAATCAGACAACTCAATTAAATTGGCATGGCTTTACTATAGGGGTAGAATTTGTAATGCAGATGTGGCACTTTCTCAATTTATGGAAAAAACCAGATTTTTAATGTTTCATGAGTATTACGTAATCTATACTGATTTTTGTTAGGAAAATAGAATTAATAAAGTGTTAAAAGAATTAGAGAGAGTAGACAGAACAAGTCTTAATACATCAACGCTCAATCAGCTCTAAATAACCTAGGTTTTGGGTGTTTATCCCACTCACACATTATTAATTAATTAATTAATAATTATTAATTTTTTTTGTCATTATTAATTTTTTTGATCTCTTTCCACTTACCTGCAAGAAAATGAAGCTTTCATATAACTTCATATGCTAAACAGAAGCTAAGCCTGTATTTACAATAATTAAGAGCAATATCTCCTTGGACCTTCAGTTTTATTAGTAATAGGTGTTCTTTAGAAGATCAACAATAAATGGTGATTTTTGTTATTGTTGACCATTTTTGTTTTGATTTTTTTACAAAATAATTGCCTTTATCTCCCTGGAATCCAGCCTTTACTTGGAAAACTTCATTTGATTCAGAAACAACAAAACTACACAACATTCAGTAATTTTATACCTATCCATGTACTTTGAAATCAGCCGACTGTTAAAGTCACTCACTCCCATTCTGCTTTTGGCAGCCTCTCTTTTATTTCCTGCTGTGTTTCTTATTTCAGTGCTGCCAAATGCCACCATCACTGCCACTGCCTGCACACAGCCCAGACCCCTTTCCCAAAACATAAAATTTTAAAAAATCTTTTTCGAAACAGAAAGTCCCCAGCAGGCATTTCAGCACCCATCACCACCCTGACTTGTCAATGCACTACCACAGACTGTACTCAGGGCAGGGATTTCCTCTTCCCATTCCCAAAGTACATTGGGGTTGACATACCAAAAATGATGACTCACGAACCTTTGTTGACTTCATTCTTCCTTTGCTTCTACAGAACAAATGGGGGAAAGAGGGAAGAAAGGTTGAAAATTAAAAAGTTTTGTAATACGATGGCACATGACATTATTTTTTCACAGATATGCTTTAATAAACTGTATCATAGGTTACCATCAGCAAAGTTGGGCATGAAAGCAGAACACCATGGGAAAGTTTCTCTAGTAGCCTAGGAGCTCTGACTGTCTCCACAGTATTCAAACACACATCTAACCAGAACAGGCACCTTCACGTTGACTTGTCCAGGATACATGCACTACTACACAGTCAGCCTTCACGCAATGATCGCTTCCTTCACCACGGCTTTTCAGGCACTCCACGTTTTTATTTCACCTCTCCTTTTGTCCTGCATCTCTTCTACAATGATATCTTTAAAGAGGATCTGAGTGATAGCACAGGGTCTATCTTAACTTAAATACATCATTTCTTTTCCACCTCAGAGGTTAAGGTAACCAGCGGGCCCCTTTTACCTATATGTTTGTACAGGACTTGGTACAGTGGTTGGACTCAGTGGGCTGTTGAATGATTTTTATAAATCCTAGCGTCATAAATGTTCATATTCTGAAATCAAGCAAAATGAGATATCTCAAATCTGCAATGTTTTTTCTTAAGATGAATTCAGTATTCATGAGAGTATATGTGTGTGAAATTGCTCTACCTTCTGAAAATACAATGCAGCAGCAGAGTTGATGTTGATGATGATGATTATTGTCATTAATTATTATTATTTACTGCAACCAGAAAGAAGATGACATCCAGCATGAAATACTTAGTGGAAAGAATGGGTAGTTGAAAAATTTTCACACTTGGCTACCGCTGATTTTTCTTGGTAGCAGCAGCCAGCCAGTCAGCATACACACCACCTCAGAAAACCACAACGGCTACGCACAACAATGAGCATGAGAAGGTTCAGACACTATTCCACAGTGACACAGATTTTGTTAACTCATACAAAAACAGACTAAAATGTATCACACAATTGATGAGGTTGGAAAGGACTTCAGAGAACATCAAGTCCAACCAATGACCAAACACCACCATGTCAGAAAGACCATGGCACTGTCATCTCCAGTCATTCCTTAAACACCTCCAGGGATAGTGACTCCATCACCTCCCTGGGCAGTCCATTCCCGTATCTAACCATCCTTTCTGTAAATATGTTCCTCCTAATGCCCAACCTACAACTTCCGTTGGCAGAGGTTAAGACGGTGCCCTCTTGCCCTGACACTGGTTAGCTGGAATAGGCTGACTCCTCAACTGGAGTCACATCAGGGGGTGGGAAAAAAAGGGTTCACAAATTAGCCATCTTGTGTGTATATTCTGGGCTTTCTTTATAGATAATACTCTTCCCAGTTTGCCCATCAGGGATCACAAAGTGTATTGATAATTACATATTGACACAAATCAAAATTTGCAAGTAATATTTCACAACTATTTCAGTTCTGTCACTTGCTCTTGCACATTGGAAAGTGCCAGAAACACACAGTAGTTTGTTTTTTTTATTGTTATACATCTATGGAGTTTTTCTGCATTAGTATAATGTTCCAGAAACATGTAAAACTAACTTAAGTGTTCTCAGCAGCTCAAATAAATTACCAAAGAGATTTTCTAAATTCCTTTCAGAAGGGTACTGCTCAGCTCTACCCTCCTCCCTTTGCAGTAATCATTGAAAGGTATTACTGAAAAGATAAAAATTGCTCCTGCTGTTCATCTGCTGAACAGGCCAATTTCAAGCTTGATTAATGGGCCCAAATCAAAGCTTCATTACAAGCAAAGTTTTAGTGTTACCTACTGCTACTATTACAAGAAGCGGTTAAAGCATTTTCATCTTTTGTTTTTCTCTTAGGATGAGGTGACTTTGCATCTAAATATAATAAATGCATTTAATGTGATGAAAGACAACAGTCATCAGGAGGCAATTAGAGAGACACATCACCTCTCTAAACATTACTTAACATGCTTTCTGGTTGACTTCATCCTTTGTCTGTATGGACAAATTAAGGAATTTGGAATTCCCCTGACACTTTCTCTCACAGCTTTTTCAACATGATTAACAAGGAGCTGCTGTATTTATTCCCTAAACAATAAAAAGGGTAATTGCTAAGACATAATTAAGTGCTTATGCAGGGATTTGTGCAAACAATTCGTTCTAATGTTTTTACTTTGTCAGTGGTAAATAGAGTTAAATAACTTCTGTAACAGAGCTACTTAAATAGTAGATTTAAAAAACAGACCATCATGCAATGCCAACAGCTGTAATTTTCCTACATCACCTACTATACTTTAGCGCAGTCAACAGAATGCAAATATTCTAGAAATACTTTACTATATTGGTATATACACAACTAAAAACTTATTAGTGCTGTAGTTTGATTTACCAGTTGTAACTTACATTTTATAAACATGTAATTTCCAGCATGTTTTTGAGCCCCAAAATCAACACTCACAAACTATTTGACTTCAGGTTGGTTAAAATGTGGAGCAGGTTGCTGTCAACTCTGTCACTAAGCAACGCTAGCAAAAAGTTTGTAATTGGGTCATAAGAGTTGTATTTAATATAATGGCCGTTGTTTTTGCCCCCACAAACTACCAAAATTCCGTATTTTTTTGTCTCAGAGCAATATAGCTTCATTACAGAATTGATGTTCAACTATTCAGGAGATAATAAACTGTTCACACAAATAAATTGTTTATCCTTTGAAACACAAAGCTGTTACAAGGTTCGTATTATAACTCCAGTACAAGAGTTTGATCCTTCTAAGCAATACCCCTTACTGTCTCCCTTAAATTCACATCAAAGACAGCAAACCAGTTTCAAAGGAGGAAGAGATGCAAAGAAGAAATTCTTAGATAACTCTAAATTCCTGATCTGTGCAAGCTACTCCCTTCTGCAGTACTTAGTAAGAACAATCTTTCTGGCCTTGAACTTGTAAAGATAAGCTATAATGATCAGCTGGAGTTCATGGGACTTCAATTGCACCACGCACAGATCACCGGGTACAGCTCTGCACCTGCAGGAGTTCTGTTTTGGGGCTGGGTTTTTTGTTTGCTTTGGAGTTTTGGTTGGTTGGTTTTTATTTTGTCTGGCTGTTTTTTTGGGGATTTAAGGGAGACAGTAAGGGGTATTGTAAATTGAGTATTGCAAAGATGACTTACAAAGGGGGGTTACAGCCAGCCTGTGTCAGCCCCTACAGCAACACCGACAGAAGCGGGGGAAGGAAAGGGGGCGTATTTCCAAAGTCAAGACTTTATTCCGTAATAGGGGAACTGCCAAAAAAGCCCCAAACCCTAAGCAAAGCAACCCCCTGGGCCTTCCCGCCTTGCCCCGTCCCTGGGTTACCGCGGTTCGGCCGCGCCGCTGCCGCCGCCAGGCCTGGAGCCGCTGAGGGCCGCAGCCGCGCCCCTGGCAACGCGTCCCGGGGAGGGACGGGACGGGACGCGACGGAGAGAGGGCCCTGCCGGGGAAGGGGGACGCTCCTCGGTGCCTGCAAGTGAACAGCAGTCACAAGGGGAAGCTCACAGAAACGCCGGGGTTTGTTGTCTCTGTTTGTTTTCACTTGAATCATTTACCTGAGAAAATTCACCTCAAAACACAGTCAGAAGAGGCGAGCGGAGCAGGTGGCACTCGAGGAGCGACTCCTATTACCCAGAGAGGCTTTTCTTCTCCCCCCAGAGCCTACCAAAGGAGCACCCCCCGCCGCCAAAGCAGCCTTCCTTGATGGCTGCTGAACTGCCAGAGCACCTCCTCCTCTTCCTCCTCAGCTTTCATCCAACTAAAGTGGATAAACACGGGAAGAGAGGAACCGAAGGTTGTATACGGTAAAAGAAAGTTAGACCTGCGGGTGTATGGGGGCTGCACGTCATTTTCTCTGAAGACCCTGTGAGCTTTAATCAGCCTGTGGGGACACTGCCAGTCGCGCACCTTTTCCGAACTCAAAGGTCGAAAAGTACTTCACCTTTCTCAGGAATGCTGACTTAATCACGTTTTCCAGAGAAGCAAATGCAGAAGCTAGGGGGAGTACTAATTTTTTTTTGTCCTCGTGTGCCTGATAGCGTTTCACTGCTGTTGCCGAAGACACAGAAAGCCCCCAGGCAGAGGGTTTTGCCGGCGTGGATCATGCTGCTCCAGCACAGCCTCATTCTGCAATCCCAATCTATTAAATATTTTTGACGGGTTAAATTTTTACAGGCTGTCTCACATAAACCCAGAAGAAATCTGGCGCGTTTTACTATCCACTGTAAATCTGAACAAAAATATCATCCTGGATTTGTCCAGCATTCGACTACAGCCTAATCCGTCCTACTACGGGATTGGAGTGCAGAGGCAGGATTAAGTGATTGGGAAACTTTGTGCTGACTTCCCTGGGCATGTGCTCGAGCACACTTCCCCATCCCTAATCCTGCAGTGCCACGGCTGGTTCGGGAGTTACACTTCAGCTGCTTCTGCACCCTTGGTGATGGGGAGAGAGTCCTCATACAGCTGTATTTTACCGCAGATCTATCAAGTTATTTGCCCTTAAAAACACACTTTATTCTGACGAACTGCAACAAAAGAAAAAAAAAAAAAAAGGATGAAGAAAAGTAAAAATGTCGTGTAACACTGAGAGAACAGATGCATTCAAGCCATTTGACTGAGAAAAAACTACCTTATTACACAATGCTCACACTTTAAAATGTTTTACTCTTGTTCTTTAAGTACACTAGTATTTAAAAGTATAGTTCTGCAAAAAATTTCATGTTTCTTTTTCCTCAACAGGGACAGGAAACAATTTAGGAAGGGTTAATTTCGGATTTTTTAATTCTAAATAATTTCAAGGAACCATTTTTCATTAATCAAATTCTTCATGATGTATTTGATAAAGTACATGGAAAGGATGTTCTCAGCCTTGAGAATGATGCAAATCTCTTGAATGTAGGTACCTAATAGAACCACACTAATTTTTGAAAGAAAAAATAATTTTAAAATTACTACAAACTTTCCTTTCCATGAAAATGCTCGGTGTTGAGAAAATATGCTAAAATTGATCAGTGTTACACAACTCCAATTCCAGTACCTAGTACACTCAAAAATCAGTACTAGCTGATATTCTGCAGGTGTCTAAACAAGAATGGATGTGTACAAAAAATTTTAAAGCCAGAAGTCATGTGATGATGTCCCCGTGAGAAGCACACGTGGTGGGGTCGGCAATCTTCCGAAGGAAATAACGTGGTTTTACAACCCTGGACTTCCCCACCCTGGACAAAGGAGGTGGTGAAAATGCAATACACGTATGGGGAAACTAATCAGGCTTGGGGAAAAAAGTCGAAATGTGTGTAAATGAAAGCTGCTGCTGCTGCTGTTGTATTAGGTCATTTTCAGTTTGAGGAACTTAAACCAGACACAGAGTCCTTCAAAGTCCAAACTCAACCCATGCAGCTATTTTGCAAATCCTCGGTATGTGTATCTTAGGTTTCCATGTATGTATGAAAACTCCCTGATTTTCCCCAGTCAACTAGTTCCTGCTAATGCTTCCATCACAATCCAGCAAAGTAGCAGCAAAACTTCCAAGGCCAGTCTAACATTACGGTGACAGTCAAAGCTGCTTATCCAATACATGATGAAGGCACTCAAGTCTCACTTGAATTCAAGATTACCTGAAAACAATACAATCAACTAGGGAAAAATGGGGATGCTGGTTGTTCACATAAAGATACTCAAGCTCACACTGCAAGTTGTAGGCCCTTCTCTCTCTGGAGGAATTTACCTAATTCTCTAACCTCCTAATGGTTACCTAATTCTCTAATGGTCTCCTAATTCTCTAACCTTAGCCCAGGGGCACACATACTCATTGAGTGGAAATAGGACCACTGTGCAGATAACACAAGAATCCCTGGACAGAAGGAAAGGTAGGTGGAAAAACCCTTCAGCTTGCTTGAGAGAGCACTCCTGGACCCCAACCCTTTTTTCTGAATTATTCTGCCTTTTACACAGATCCTAGACTAAAATTAACAATTACGTGTGTATATAAACCCTCTAGGACCAGAACTCAGTGCACTTCCTGGCCTATGACAATTAGTGATACTTTTTTGGAAAGTGGGAGATAAGACATTAAATCTATTCCAAATGCAACTGCATGAAATGCAACATCAGAACCTTCATCAGAGTCACTTGGAAAGCATCAGCCCTACCATGGTAGTGTGAGACCAATCATTTAGTTAACATTAAAGAAAGCAAATAAAAAAGCCCATAGTATATATCTTGATGTATCTTACCTTAGCTTTTAATCTTTTACTTCATTAGACTTGGAAGAAGTGGAATCCCATGAAAAATAAATTTCTGCAAGGATGAAGATTTTTCTTCAAAGGGAGTTTGAAAGATTATGATTATGTCACTTACTGAAAAGTGATACAACTGAAGCAGCACACAAGTACTGAATATGTTTACTCACTCTAAGTCATTGTAAGAGGACATTTTGTATTTGTTTCACAGTGGAAACAAAGCCAGATGAATTAAACCTCAAAAAAGCACTGTAAATAAAACCCCTTCTCACAATGTCTGCAGAATTCACAACTGCAAAGCTGAGGCAGAATATGGATTACTCCATAAACTAATTCTTAATTCATGTAAAAATACACATAAGTGGACTTTTTATTTGCAGGCTGTAAGGAATAGAAGTATATCAACAAGAATAAAAATGTACAGAAGTTTTCAAAACCTTTTTTAGGGGAAAAAAAACCAAAACAGAAACAAACAAGAAAACAAACAGTCCATGTTATAGGATGTTTTCCCTCACATGTGTTCTGACACTAGCACATGGAAAGTAAAGGACCACTTTAACCAGCACATTCTGAGTTTTATTTTAAAATCCTTAGATAAGTGTTAGGTGAATTTCAACTTACATACAACTTTTGCCTTAAATAAAAATAATTACAAGCTTTTGTTCTGTAATTTTGGGTAAACAGAAAGCTGGTAAGCAAACAAACTTTAGTGAAAAAAACCCAACAGTTCTGTACAAGATTCCATTTTGGAATTTTTATTTTAGACACAATTAAGGGTTTCTTTTTAGATTAAAACCATTTCATAGAGTAATTTTCATGCAACAGAGTAAACTTTTTTCCTATGCTGTTTGACAGCACAGGAGATAAATGTTCACATGAACAAGCTGTTAACCATGAATGCAAATAACACTATGAACTTTAAAGAAAGTATTTCAACAACAACAGTTATGGTTCTTGGGACACCAGCAAGGTGTGTAAACCGAAGTGTTTTGGAAATATTTTAGTTGCAGCAAGAGTAACACCAAAATATTTCCATTTTTGCTGACAACACATGGAGCACCTATCAGTTCTAGAAGTGATTCTGGAAATGACACCATCACCTGCACCAAGCTTAGTAATTAATTACCAGATACATTTAAAAGATTCTCAATTATTCTTAAGGTTTTGAAATTTAAACCGGAGTACAAGTAGAGTAAATATTAGAAAATTCCTTATTATTGTCCTGTCTTGTTACAGAAGAACATTTTATAATACCTATCTCATGCATCTGTATCTTCCAAAACCTCACTGAATCAATATGCTTTACAGGTTTAGGCATAAATTCTGTTTCAAAGAAAAAAAAAATCAGAAGCTAAGACCTGAATTATTTTAAGCTGGCTTCACCAGCCACTGAAATAGTATAACATCTGTCTTGCACAAAATTATATAATTTATTTCAATATTCTTACAAGCCTCTAATTATACAATCAATTTATTTTCCACATCAAACAATTTAAGAAACCTTATATACATAAGAAATTATTGTAGATATCTTACATGGTAACTTATCAAGTATTCAGATAGATGTGTGTACTGCCTTTCACTCTGCCTGTGACATTACTTTCCTCCTATTTCATCAACAATTAAACTGACTTACAAATACAGTTGTTCAAACGGTAGAAGACAAAAATAAAAAGTAAAAAACTTTTTTTTTTTGTGGTCCTCAGAATTACTGAAAATGCCTTTGGATTTTGCCATAAATATTCAAACGGCATATGAAATTAAAATCTCAGAAATTTGGATGTACAAATCAGTAGCTCCTGAGTTACAGTGTAGAAGCATTTTGGGCAATCAGTTGTAACACGGATGTATAGAAGGAACTTTCTCAAATACTCAAGTAAAAAAAATGTATTATAGCAAATGCTATTGTTCTAACACATGCTTCAGGTTATGTTTTTAAATTCCACCTAAAAGCAATAGGTTCATGCTGCCATTTCATGAAGCTGTGTTACAAAGAGTAATTAACACTGAATAGCTACAAAAGCATTTCCTATTTTCAAGTAAACTGTACAAACCCATCAGCAGAGCACTGTGCCTCACTGGAATATGTCTTCACAACCTTGTGGTGTCATGGGGGACTGTAACACTGCATTTACAGCAACACTGATGTTATTTTTTTCTTTTTTTCATATAATCAATAAAAATTTTACAAAAATATAGCCAACAAACATAAAAGCATGCTGCAAATTCAGTTCTGCCTAGAGACAGCACTTTGCAATTACAGCTATAGAAGCCAAGCATTTGGAAGCTATGGCTGTGCATTCCTTACACAACCACATAGTCACAACTGTGTATTGCCACAAACTTCTCTTTGTGAGGGGCAAAAGATGGAAAGTGCACTTTTAATCAACTGGAGAATAGAACTATTTTTTTTCAGCATGACATCATGTCATACATTAGCATTCACATGCTAAGCTAAGAATTTCATGTCTTGTAGTAATCTTTATAATTCAGTAATACTGAGCAAATGCCACTGCATCTCCTAATAGATTTTGTATTTTGTAGAACTATATTTATCGTAACTTCATGCTATTAATTTTCTCTGGTCTGCATTATGAGGTCTCAGAAGTAACAGCCTGAAAGTGCCCTGGGCACAGGGACACATTAACAACCAAAACTAAAAAAAAAAAAACCTAAAATCGAGTTTCTTAGCACGCGTAAGGATTGTGTAAGAGGCAAATCTGTTTGTCAAGGGTGGCCTCAACAGTGACTTTCTCTTCTTGTCCATTATACACTTTTAAACCTCTCCAGCAAATTAAGTCAACACCTTACAAACAATGTGAGTGCAGGCAAAGCAGATTTTGTCCTCAATTTTGTCTCTCTGAGCAAGGTATTATGTTCTTATTCCCCAACTTCCATCTCTCAGTTTTTGACCCAAAAGCTGTTGCTTCAAAATGCATTTGAAACAATTTAACAGCATTTTCAGAGGTGGGACACTGAGGCTCCAATGCACAGATTCATAGTGTCCTTTACACATTTGATCAAAGCACTAAAGCTGGAGTGCTGCTGAGCTCTCTCTGGTCAGAGAAACCTTCAGCAGTCTGACCTTCAGCTTTCTTGACTGGATTTCTAATTTCTGCAGTTCAATCAGGTGCCTAAGGATAAAGATGAATTCACCCTGTAGGAGCATTAGGTCAAGGATACAAAGGAGATGAGAGCAGTAAACCCCGGTCTCAAAATGATAACCCTCCCTACAACTGCCTCATAAAAATCCTTGCATCTTTGTTTTTGAATACTTGACCTTGGAACCTTAAAATACCCTTCCAGATTTAAGAAGAAAATAAACACAAATAATAAAAGGCATCAGCATTTGGAACATATTTTTCCACTGTATAGATCTCTGTTGTATGAACATAATGAGCAGCAGCTTTTGAGACCAGGGTAGAAGAGTAGAAATGGGCACCTAACAACTCCAGTTAACCTGTATGGCATATGCTTCTCTACCCTGTACTTCTCTGTGCAAATGGGGCTGTATATCCTCCCTGAAAATTAAGGCAACCTTCTCAAAAAACAAACAAACAAACAAAAACCCCCAAGCAAATACATTTGAAAAATAAAAAGAAATACCTCAACAGAAGGAAGCAGCAGTGCTTGAATCTCATACATACGCTGCTGACAGGCCACCTGCATTAAATCTAAAATCAAATTAATGTAACTGCTTGGCTCTCATTAATTTCTTGTTTGGGAAGGCTTTTCTGTGTGCTTCTTTTTTGGTAGAGCTTTGTAAATAGACAGTATCTTCAATATTCTTAAAATAAGATTATCCTGTCTCCCACTAACCTTTGTACCAGATGGGACAACTCTCCCTTAGGCAAACTAGCTAACAACATTCACTTGTGCTTTAAAATTGAAATTCAATTTCCAATTCTACATGAATATTTACAAGCTGTCACCCAATAACTTATCACTTAATGTAACACAAACTACACTCAAAACATCAAAAGAATCTGTCTGCAATTAATTTCTGAATTCTCTAAAACAGTAACTTTAATGCAATGCATGGAATGACGTGGAGCACAAATTATTCTGAAATAAGTAAATCCACGCTAATGTGGCACTGTGGAAATTGTTTCTGAAGCAAATTTTTCACTTGTTAAGCTTTCACTCATTAAACTCATACTCACTGATGAGGAAAAAATAATAAGGACAACTAAATATTCATCTTAAAGATCTTCTGACATTGGACATTAGGAAAACAAAATGTATTGAAATGCACATTAATTTACGTATACAAAGACAGTTTATAAGTTTTTGCACAACATTAAAGTCTTTCACAGGACAAAAAGAAATAATCACTTGGGAAGAAAAAGCACAAACAAAAAATCTCAACCGAAGTCAAGCATGGAACAGAGAAAGCAATTAAAGTCAGACTTTATCTCTCTTTCAGAATATTACAGATTATTTGACTAGAGACCAGCATCAAACTGAATTACCCCGTATTTTCCACTTACCATCCAGTCAGGTTCAGAAGCCTGAATTTGTTCACCTTGTCCAGGTTTCAGGCCAACCTGAGTGTCAGATTTCAGTGTTCTCAAACTACAGAGAGGCGCAGGATGAAACTTATTCAAGGCTTGATGAAATGTGACACTGTATTCCCATTTTCTATCTCCTGTCAATTTTCTATAGTTTAGATCGCCTTTGAAAAGGAGCAGGTTTGACTTCTGTAGCTCAGCATACAAGTCAGGAGCAACTTCACTCATACTGGAAAAATCATGTGGTAAAGTCCAAAACATGTGGTCATGGAAAACCCAAACTCCCTTTTTCAAATTGCCCTCCCAGTTTATCCCACATCTAGACATCCACATATGATTAGCTGACCCCAGCTGTTTAATAGTCCAGTTAAAATCATGCTTTGTGGTATCTGATACATACCATGGAATACTTTTTCCATGAAAATAGACTTCATCAGCTAGCTTTGATGATAACAAGAAATCAGCCAACACAAGATCACTTACAAGTTCAAATCCAGCATTATCCAGGATTATGTCAACTCTAACATTACTTCTTTCTGTTCTACTTTTTTTGGCATTTACAAGAAGTGACCAAACTTTTTCCATATCATTCACTAAGATGTAAGGTGCCATGTTTTCCAGGGATTGCAAGGGACTAGATTTCTGAGAGCTGTCTTCACCAGCTGAAAAAGAAAGGTCACACTTATTGCCCCACAATGACACCTGGAAGGAAAAAGAAGAAAAAACAAAACCATCATTTACTAAGTCTCACTGTAGTTACATTCTCAACTTCACATACACTGAAGATTTTGTTACTTTTTTTTTTGTTTTAGGTAATAAAGGTTCTAATTCCACATATTCTTCCAAGCCTTAATAAAACTCAGCTTCTTGTTCTTGGTATCTCAACATGGACAAGATTTTGTGGAAGAAACCAAACAAAGCTCTGTATTTACACAGGCATCAGAGGTGACAAAGACGGAAGATTTAGATGAACATAAACACACTGATCACAAAGCTCGGAACAGAAATATTCTCCATACTGCAATTCCAAAAAGTATCAGTGGTAACACAGAAAAATGAATAATAAAAGCAGAATAATTTTTTTACTACATGCACCCAAATAAGTATTTTAGATCTATGTATTTTAAGTACTCACTAATGAGCCCTTTGTAAAGATTCATCAAATACTGGGTGAACACTGTTGCCAGCTAATGGACTTATTTGTAATCCTACAGTAGTTTGGGGATTCTATCCACAGGCACTATATTCCAAGAATAATGCTATTATAAAGCTTTTAAACCACTTCTGATCCAGACTGACTTCTATTTTTTCTCCAGAAACATTTAAAGTGCCAACTAAAATTAACTGTTTTAAGAAATTATAGGTAACTTCAAAAAGGTCATCTGGAATTTAACTTAAAATGTTTGAGAGATTTTGTAGGAAGGATTGCTGGGTTTCCATATACACAATGAAGACCAGCAGTTAATAAAAGAGTGTCACATTTAATACAAGTACCCAAAAATAAATATTTTCAGAATAGCAGCAATACAGTAGGGCTATCAGGACTTCATCACATTTTTTCAAACAAAAGATCTATATCTTAATTTCTACATGAAGTTCAAATTATTTGTTTTCAATTCTTGTGTTAAGTACTACCAGTTTACCTGCAATAGCTTAAACAGTTCCTCCTGAAGCTGCTTTTCATCTAGATCCTTGATGTTCTTAAGAAGTTCCTGAAAGTAAGTGCATAAGGCAATAACAGCTTCTTGGGATTCAAAGAAATTTTGAGCCTTTCCTTCTTTGAATACATCAAAGTTGTCAATAGGTGGGCTAAAAAGAGAAGAACAAATATGTTGATATACTTCCCACATTCTCCATTACAACACATGCAGAGGAACCTCAAAGGTCAGCTTTTTTAGACTGTACTACAGACCCTAGTTAGATTTTCCACTTCTAATTTGTCATACTAGATTTTCACACATCTTCATAACTGCCTAATATTGCATCTTGCTAAAACAAACACTATGAAAGGCATCTTTATATAGCAATATATTCTGAAAGTGAACAAGTATTCAATCACAGCAACTCTGGGAACTGCACATGCAGTGATCATCTTGAACTCCAACCTTCAGACAAGAGAATTAAAATTGTAACATACAAGTGAACTAAAGTAAAGAAAAGCTGGCCTGATTTTAAACATGTTTGTGTGTGCTGGAGTGTACTTCCCATACCAAATTCTGTTCCACTGATAGGAAGTTATTCCTATGAAAGTCTTTACTGTGATTTCAGAAAATTACCATGACAAATGAGAATGTTGTAATATATAAAAATTATAGACCAATCTCTTATGAGACATATTTCCACGATGACCTTTCAACAAATGATTGAACTTCCATCCAAGTTGATGGATTTAGTTGCTTAAGAGCAACTAAATAACAGAGATCAAGAAACTTTAAAGTTAATAATGAAAAGTATCTGCTCAGCTTTTAAAGTGCAATCCAGCAGATCAACCTCATATTTGAAGCTTTTGGTACAAGAGTTCAAATTACATAACATACCAGTAGAAACCGAGTCCCATTACTGTGTTTGCATCTCCACAACACTAAGGGTAAATCCAGTACTTGTGAAGCTTTCAAATTTTTTTGGCAGCAACAGGATCTTAAACTGTTCATTCCTACCCCATGACATTGTACTGGCACATCTCCATGGTACCAGCATAACAAGTTTTTCCTGCCCAGTTATTTTTAACCAGTATCAGCTCCCAAAGTTCAATGCAACACATGGTCTGCAAGCACTGCTGTAACTAAGAAACTGGTGTAGAATGAACAACAGGGACTGGTTAAGATGGGTCTACTGCTGTAAGAAACAGTTCTCAAATGGTAACTTCTGATTGCAAGCGGCAAAACAAGTTAGAATTCCCAACAGATTTGTGGCTCTCGTATTGTTTAAGGCTTAAGAGAAAGCCTTATTCTAGAAATTCTAGATAAATTGTCTACAACAAACCTTGTAGAAATGCTATGTGATTTTCATATCTCAATTCACATTAGTCTGCAAGGTTAAGCTATACACCCAAGCTCAAGAGTTTTCTTGTAAACCAACTCAGCAAAACTGAAGCATAAAAAAATTAATAAGCTTCAAATTCAGGTGAATGTAAGAAGTATTAATGTTAAATCTGAGGTGCAAGATGAGGAAAAATGAGTATGGTAAAAGCTTAAGATCTTCCTTTATCTCACTCCTCAGATGTCTTTCTTTTTCCCAAAATAAAAATGGGGAAGAGCAATGTTTTGCGAAATAATGTACCAAGCCAGCAAATACTTACTTCTGTGCTAATGCTGCATGGATTCTTCGATACATGTAACACTCTACATACAGCCAAGGGGACTGAAACCAACTTGGTTCTCCATTGCCATTTGGTAAATTTCGTTGGTAGTCCAGGTATTGGTTCCACAATGCAGCATCAGGCAACTCATCTTCCAAAGGGGTCACTGGCTTGTCTGTTTGCAGCTCATTCCGCAGTTTGGAGAGGAAAGATATAGCTCTCTTCTCTGCTTCAACACCCTTCTGAAAGATGTGGAGAACAAAAGTTCCTATTCTGTACATTTATTCCTGTTGAGACACAGATCAACTGTTCATGGAATGTGTGCTTTTTTAACTGCCTTATGAGAGTCCCCAATCACAGCTTGGTTCAACAAAATTTATTTTGATGAATAAAGCTCATTTAGGATCCAAGATCCTAAGATGAATTCCCTATGGAACTTCTTTTTAGACTGGACTTTTTGCTTATTTGAGGGGAAGAGAGTATTGAAACACAGTCGTGTTCAGAAGGTGTTACTGTCTATCAAACACTGCACCAACACAAAATCCCAAGTAAGTAATGCAGTTGCAGAAGTGACAGATCAGAAAGAAAAGGCTAGACAGAAAGGTGCATTATAGAATTAATCAAAAATAGCTACTAGAAAGAAAATTATTTTTAAAAAAATCAGGCAAAAGGATTGAGACAAACAAGTCTCATCAGTAAAAGCAAGGGAGAGAAAGGGTATCAAGGGCTAGAGAGGAATAAACATCAGGGAAAATAGGGACCTTACTCTTACCTCACCATGTTCTTCAAAAAATTCATTCTTATGTCGATGTAAAGTATCAATAACTCTTGTGAGGATCTGGGGAAGTCTGTCTTTAATTGTAAAATATGCAAAGGATCTAAAAAAGAGAGGATCGATATTTTATTATTGTCAGCAATAATGAAATGGCTTCAATTTTTAAAAACAAATGCAAGGTCTTTGTGCTAGTTTGGGCTGGGGTAGAGTTAATTTTCTTCACAGCAGCTGGTATGGGGGCTGTGTTTTAGATTTGTGCTGGAGACAGTGTTCACAACAGAGGGATGTTTTCCTTATTGCTGAGCAGGGCTCACACAGAGGCCTTTTCTGCCTCATCCCACCCCAGCAGCAAGGAGGCTGAGGGCACACAGGGTCTTGGGAGGGGACACAGCCAGGACAGCTGACCCTAACTGACCCAGAGGCTATTCCAGACCATATGGCGTCATGCTCAGCGGTGGAAATCAAGAGGAAAAGTTGGCCAGGGAGCCACTGCTTGGGCATCAGTCAGTTCATGATGAGCAATTGCTTTCATTTGCCTCACTTGGTTTTCTTGGTTCTGTTTCTCTTTCCTCTTTTCATTATGATTTATTCTCATTTCAGTTATTAAACTGCTCTTACTTCAGCCTTACAAGTTTTCTCATTTTTACCCTTCTCATTCACTTCTCCCCACTCTGCTGAGCTGTGTGGTGCTTTGCTGCCAACTGGGGTTATAACACAACAGTATTAGAAGTAGCTTTACATGTCCTTGAACCTATGGACAGCAATAAAAAACAAAACCAAAACAAAAAGGAAAAAAATTTCAAACCGGTCAGGTTCTTGTGCCTGTTTTTACAAATTATAAATAGCAGTCTTTTCAAGAAAAATCTAAATTACTGGCCCTGCCAAAACAGCGAAAAATTGCTGTTAATTCTCGGTTAAAACGCAACCTCCATCGCTAAGATACCCAGATGCAAACCTTGGGAAATGTAAAATCAAGAGCACAGCTATCTGTTCAAAGTTTATCGCGTATCTCACATCAACAAGAAACGCACTCTCTATTATAGACTTGATTTACATTTTCTCCAAACGCTGCTTATGTACGAGGACAACGAGCAGAACGAGGCCAGCCCCACGGAGAGCGCACACCCGGCCTGCAGGACGATTTTTACTGTGAGATCTCCACCCGGTGGGTTGGAGCCGCGGAGCCGAGCACAGCACCGGCACCACCCCACAGCCGGGCCGGGNCTCACGTTCCTATTGGTCGGCTGTCGGCCCGCTGTGCCCGCCCCTCCCGGCACGCAGCCAATAGGAGTGGAGCCCTCCATCCTCGCTTCCCTTCCCCCTCGGCGCCGCCGGGGGCGGTGCTGCCGCTGTTTTCCTTGGAGCAAAGGACGGCGGTGCGGGGGCAGGGAAGAGGCGGAGTGTCCCGGCGCCCGGGGCTGGCGGGCCCCAGGGGCAGCTGGAAGCATCTGGACTGCGTGGGCAGGGCTCGCGGGCTGGTCTGTGCCGGTCCCGTCCGCCCGCCGGCGGAGCGGGCCCGCCCTATCCGTACGTGTCGGTGGCTGTGGCGCAGCAAGCCGGGCCGGGGAGGCATGGGGCGTGGCTAAAGTGTGCCGCATGCCGAAGAAATGTTGGAAAATAAATCCCCAGCTCCATGCCGGCTGCTCGGAGGTGGCGCCTCCTGTCTCGTTGTAGTCGCCCTTAGTCCTGCTTTCTTCATGGATTGCTGTGTTCCGCTCGTTCTGCCTTGGTGCCTGTGGTGCCACGGGTCCGACGCTCAGGCCCCTCGCTGGAATTCAGTCTATATGAGCTCTCTTTCCTTGCAACTTACTGTAAGGCTGTACAGTTGAAAAATCATTTCTGGTATTACTGATCCGGGATGAGGTTTTGTTGGCTGGGAAAGCCAGCAAAAGCATTTAGAGTCTCTTTCTGCCACTTACCACACACTCCTGGAGACTTTACCCCTTGCCCCAGCTCTCCACCACCTGGGTTCCAGAGTTTCTGTCGGCTCTTTTTTTATCCAAGAGTTATCAGCCCCTTTAAAAAGGTAAATATGCCTTGTCCTGGATAGGGTCGCTTTCTAAATACAGAACAAGTTTAAAATGAAAATAATAGTTGGTCCCAGTAAGTGTGCCAGCAACAGGCTTCTAAATTGGGCAGAAATGTACAAGTGAAGAGCATGTAAAGATACAAAATTAATCCAAATATCAGTTCATCTAGGTATCCTTGTCAGGACAGAGGGCTTGTTCCACAGCACACACCATGATTTGCTCTTTAAATCAAATGTTTATTTGAACTATTGTGTTAAATATATTTTTAAGTATTGAAGATCCTTTTTCAGTTTTTGAAGAATGTTCACAAAGGGGCAGGGTTTTGAATTAGACACCTTAATGACTTTTTGTTAATAATTTGCTGAGGATGGATTTTGTGTCGTAAGGGAAATGTTCTTGATTAATGAAACCAGATGAGGGCAGGGACTTGTCACTGAGTTTTTTCAGCAACTGAAACACATGGACTGAGGTACTGAGTCTGAATATTTTTGTTTTATTAGCTCACACAACGTAGTGTAAGTATAGTAGGGCTGCTCTTAGTCTGAGCTGCCAGCATAAGGACACTGTTGTGTTTCAGGCTGCACAATGGCCCTGCAGGCAGGCCTGGTGGTCCCTGTAGCACCAGGATGTTCTGGCAGGAGCAAGGCTGTGAGCCGGCTCCGTTCTCACTGTGGTCAGAACAGGTGGCTGGGGCTGGGTGTGTGATCGACTGTTCATGGCACAGCAGCTGGAGCTGATGCTGAGCAGTGTGTGTGTTCTGTAGGTGACATTCCCATACAACCACGTAGTAATCTAATTGTTTTATTATATATCACAGTGATTCACACATCTTTAACATGTGTGCTTGCTTGCTCACAAGCAGTGGAGTTACTAAATGTGCAAGCTGCTGCGCAGAATGAGCAGCCAAAGGAAAAGATGCCCACTTGTATATTGACACAGCAATCAGTTCTGTTTTTTCACCACTTGCTGCAGACACACAGATCCTTTTAGATAAGAGAAACAATATTATTTTTTTCCAAAATGTTGATGGATGATTTTGTTTGTTTGTTTTAAATACAGTTCAGAGGGAAGAAATGAGACTGAAACTTCTGCACCTTCAGACGAGATCTTTCCACACTTTAACAGCAATACGTCAATGCCAAAGCTTTAACAAAACTGGATGTCTACTATTAAAGCCGGATAATGAAGTTGAAAGAGCGGCTCACAGAACAGCAAAGTCTTGCAATTTGTATGCACTGAAACCTGTGTTCCCGTGGTTGACAAGTCAGTATGTGCAAGTCAGGAATTGGCATTTTCTCCAAGGATTTCTGTCCACTTTGGAAAGAAATACTTATTATCACAGTGGGGAGGGTTTTTTCTCATCCTGGAGACGTTTGGGTGTGGCGATGATGGAAAACTACAGGCTCAATAGAGAGTGGATCATAAAGCTTAGGAACACATCATCAAGATTTTATGCAGTTGTATCAGCTGGTAAAATTGTCCCCAAACCCAATAACCAGCCAGTTAAGAGGCCACCAAAGGCACCGAGGACCAAGCAGCCATCCAGAACGAACCTGCCGCTCTCAGACATGAAGGTGAAGTATAACATTTATACTTTATGTGACATTAAGGGAGTGTATCAATTTAATTTACATTCAGATGTGGATTTAGATGAACATTTTAATGAAATTAGCATAATTATTTGGTGAGAAGGACTTCATTATTTATACTAGTGTTGGAGCTTTGCAACACTAGTGAAAACCTGATAGAAATGAATTTAACTTTCTCTGCATTTCTTTGCTTATCCAGATCTACCTAGTTTTAAGGTTTGAGTGAAGCAGAAATAAAAGTGAAAATTAATAGTATAAAATTTATATTCAGATTAGGTTTCAAATGGGAAATGAATGTGCAAGTGTAGTCTGTGATACCTGAGAAAGATCATTCCATGTGTAGAAATAGCACCTTGATTATCAGACTCTGAGGTCTGCAGAGGAGAGGCAGCAACATACTGTTTCAGATACTGTGAGGTACGATGAGGAAGAACAGTGCATATTTGTAGCCATATCTCCTTAAGTTAGCTCTTAGCAAGCCATGCCTTAAATACACTTGAATATAGGATTTCCATGGCAAATCCTGGTGTCAGATGCATTACTGTTCTCAGTCTAGAACAGCAGAGTTCCAGGGTGTTCTTAGTAAAATAGTATGATGGGTGAGACTAAAACAAGCATTGTGCCTTCAGTAATAGCTTCCACACTGCAAAATATATCTGTTATGTGGTCTGCTGAACGTGAGCAGAGAAAAGTTTTACTGCTTACCTTCTCATAGCTACGCTTCTGATTAGTGTTTTGTGTGATGAGCAGGGTGTATGCTTTAGTGTAACATAAAGAGGTAGTTGTGGACAATGTAGTTCCCGCTCACATTTTTATGTTGAAGAGGAAAGTGAAAAAAAAGTCCTGAAACATTATGTAATGTTTCTAGCTTTTTAGTCATGCTATGACATTACATTTAGAGTTTGATTCTTCTTGGTTTCTTGGTTTTGGGCGAAGTAACATTTTTGAGGCTGTGGAATGACAGCATAGGATGTAAACAGTTTGTTTGACATTTTCATATATATGTGCAAGTAATATGTAATGCTATTTTTAAATTTTTTCCATTGTGAAGAAATTGAGAAAATACTGCCTGATACACTGAAATAATAATATACTGCCCAAGGAAGTTTTTGCATGGCAAAATGCTGAGCCAGAAATTACCTCTAGTATGGCAGGCCCTAATGCCAAGGGCATTGCCTTAGGGACATCTCCTTGCCATCTTCTCCTGCCTCTGGAGACAGCAGTTGCGGGCCCACTCCTGAGATTCTCAGTTAGAGAACCCTGCGATCTGTGTTTTCTGTCTGGGCCTGACACCTTCCTTTTGCAGAGCTCCTGGTGAGTGAGGTCCTTCCCATCCTCCCAGCACTGGTCTTCATGTGTTTTTACAGACAGAGTGCTGGGCACCACAACATAAATTGTTGTACAACCAGTTTTTCAGGATAGATAGAGGAATTCTTGAAAGCAGTTAAGTGGTTTAGTCAGTCCATCAATGAGTGGTACCATTACTTGGATAACCTGGTATGATTTGATGGCAGGAAAAGCCTCTGAGCTAATTCTTAACACTACAGCCATCTAGCATAGAAGTAGATTGAAATCCAGGCAGAGACATAGTATTTACTACACTTTAGATGAAGATTGATTCCTGTGGTGATATGAGGACTAAAGTTCATCCTGCAGGTTTTTTTTCTTAAAATTTTTTGTATGCTAAAAGTGGAAGAGAGGAACTAAGGAGAGTTACGATTCCATGAGCCTGTACAGTTCTTGAGGGCACGATGATACAGAAAATGAGTTGTCAACGTACTTAGCTGTCCTTAGGAGTACCCATCCTGTGTGCTGCTCTGAATAGAATCTCAATAATGCTGTAGGCAGAAAGGAGGAGGGGATGAGTAGCTCGAGTTCCCTTCTAGCACCACCGGTACAGGTGCTGTATTCTGGGGTTTTTGAAGTTTGCAGGTGAAAGTGGTGTAGCAGAAAACATGGCATTAAGTTTGATCAGACATTAAACACGTCTATTTTAGGATAAGCTGAGTCACATGATTAGAGTAGATTTTTTTGTCTGTATCTCCACTGGCACCCATAGACACCTATTTTAGGTGTCTTAATCACAAATTATGCCTAAGCCGAATGTTCTCTATCAAACAAGATTTTTGCAAATATGTAAGTGAAAGTTACATTGTAACCAAACCCAAAAGTAGTTCATATCCAAAATGCTCTTTCAGGCATGTAGCTTAGTGGAAAACCTCTGGTTGTAACTAAATGAGAAATGTAGCCATTGAAACTAAAATTGCATCTGTAAGGCAGAAGGTCAATCCTGTAGTGCATTTGCCTTGAAATGATGAATAGCCCAAGTAATAAACTGTGGGAAGCACATGAGAACAGGATAGAGGTTTTCCAATTGTACACTAACTACAAGATGAGAATTTGCTTCCTTAACTCTTGACAGAAGAGTTTCATGGCAGAGGATGTGTACTTACAATAACCAGAGCTTTTTGGAAGAATCTTCAGATTCAGATGTATAATTGGCACTGGTGATTTAGTGATTGAGAATGGATTTATACAGTTGAAATTGTGATAATGAAACTTGATACTTCAAGGGAACTGAAAACACAGTTCTGTTCCATTGTTAATTCAGCCTTCTAGCAGAGTTGTGGGAATATGCCTACAAAACTGATCTCTGAATATTATAATTACTTTGAAAGCTTATTTTCTGCTCGTGGTTGCTGAATTAAGATGACGTGTAAGCAAAGCTTTGGATGTGAGAGTAGAATGTTGACATTAAAGAAGAAAAGTTCAAATGTGAGGTGGTGATTCTAATGATTGATGACAGGCCCTCTGCAGGGAGCAGAACCCCTCCTGAAGCCTTGCTATTTGACAGTGTTTGAGTGCTGCAAAAATGTAACTTGGATTTTAGGTGGAAGTGTATTGTGGGCCTAAATCCCTGAAGATGATCACAGTTCTTTTGTTCATTTGTTGTTAGTTACATCCCCATTTGTATTAGTTACAAAAAACTGGGAAGTGACTGATCCACAGTGAGACATTGCTTTCTGGTTATCTTCCACTACATTGCACTGAAAAACAATTTTGTAGGTTGTAAGTGGTATCAGAACAAAGAAATACACTTCAAATGAGTGGTAGAATTTGCAAATTAGTTTATTGTGACTGGTTTGATTAATCAAGAAAATCTCACATCCCTTCACAAGTCAGAATCATCGCTGTGGATGTGTGGCACCTGCAGCTGGCCCGGAAGGTCGGTGACCTTCTGTGCTGCACTGGCTCAGCCCTCAGAAGTAGCTTGGTGCATGGCAGAACACGATGTTTGTGGTTGGAGCTTCTGCTTGATAAACAGACTGGAGTAGTCAAACGCCATTTATCTTTAAAACACGGGTGTTAAAACTGCTGTCAGGGGTGTCTTGCCTCTGGTTTCAGTGGTCAGCCATGTCATAAGCCGTGGGATGGGAGAGCAGCAACAAGTGCAGCTCTGCTGTTCAGTTATTTGATTGGCATGTGGGGAAGAAGGGTTATGTTTGTGGCTCTGTCACAGAGTTTTTTGTCGTGACTTCACTCATGCCACCTGGCTTATTCTCAGTGTGTGAATTGCTTTCCCACTTAACGAGGAGCAAGTGTGCCTGTTAGTGTATGTACACCATGGACCTCATGGCAATGATACCACAAGAATAGTACATAAATGGAAATTGTCATTATCTTAATAAATTTGAAGCAAACAGTTGTTTTATTACCATCTTGCTTCAGCCTTGCCCTAACTCAAATCTCTATTCCTTTGGCACAGAATCTGATGCAGTGCACAGCCTTTGCAACAGCAGATGAATATCATCTTGGTAATCTCTGTCATGACCTGACTTCACATGGATATGTTGAAATAACAAGTTTGCCTAGAGGTAGATTTTTGAAACATTAAATGCAATCTTATACCTTGGGAAATAAAATAGGGGTGAGGGATACAATTTTTATAACTTTATGTATTCTTATTCTGATAATATCTTGGAATATATCATACTGCCTGTAAAATTATTGCTTTGCTTAAAGATTCTATTTGCCTAAAAATCCCCACAACAGAACCTTTCAGAATAGCAATATGAGTGGCTCTTGCTCTTACCCTCTGATAATTTTTCCCAACATAACAATTAATACCAGAAGTATAGAAAAATCACATGCATGCATGAAAAATAACTTTGGAAATTGACTGAGAATAATACAGAGAATTTCTGTAGACATTCACTAACTGTTACTTTTTGCTTTTAATTAATCTTTCAGTAGTGAGGTATTGCAGTATCAAAACAATCTTGTAATTTGAAGTGTTGAGTGTTGCATCTTCTTTCTGTACCCATATTTCTATTAATGTAAATCACAGAGTTGGAGAGGACAGCATTCAAGAGAGAGCTTTGCTGACTAAGTGAAATGAAAAAGATACACAAATAAATATTTAGTTCTAGTAAAGAGAATGCTGCTGATACTTTTTTATGGGGCCAAGTATATCCAAGAAATTGTTGAGTGCTTCACTTAGGTAGGCTTCAGCAAAATAATTGATTCTGGTTTCCATATAAAGTATCTCTGAAGATGTGGAAATTATGGCTTGGAAATAGCTGCAGTATATTACAAAAGAAAAACAAATGGATCTTATTATAGCTTAAGGAACCTATGCCCTGGAACAGCTGTGATTTTCTTATGTCAGTAGTAGAATGCCTTTTCTTTCTTCCTTTGGAAGAACAGATTACATGAAGCTAGGAGAAGGACAGGCAGTTCATGGGCATTTCAGTAGGGCTTATGAAAAGCCTGTCTGCCTCTCAAATAATAATCGAAGTGCAGTAATACTCCAGTGTGTCTCTTTCAAGCATGAGATTTACTAATGATTGTCTTGTTCTGAAAGATGAACAGGAAAGACAATACCCACTAGAATATAGGCTTCATGTTCCTTTGTAATTTCTTTGTATTAAAACTAACCCTGGTTTCACAGCTTTGGGGTAGAAACTTTGTACAACCCCCAGCATGACCATGAATTAAACATTAGTGTTGATGTTATTTTACCCTGGGAGTGTCAGTTTTGCCGGTTCCTTTTATTTCTTCATGGTGTTTTTGACTCATAATAAGAACTGTTTATCAAAGGTTTGGAGGAAGTAATGATGAAAGGATATTGGATTGTGCCAGCAGATCTGAAGTGTTGTGATGGTTGGCATGTGCATGTAGCAGTGGTTGGTTACAAAGCCAAACACTGAATCTGGGAAAATAATTTTCAAAAATACTACCACATAGAAATCTAAAACAGCAGTTACTGTGTGAATTTGTTGCTTTGTAGTATTTTTCCAAAGCATTATTCTTGTTTTTGAGCTCTTCAAAAACATTTTAGAGGCAGATCCTGCATTTCCACTTAAAGCAGACCAAATTCTCATCAGTTGTGTGTGTTTTGGCTGGAATGGATAAATAAAGACATGGCTGGTATTTGAAGAGGCAAATGAGAACATGTAGGCAAATGTTACTTCCATGATGAAGTCAAACTTCACACTTAAAACTGCTCTATTTATTCATCCAGTGTTTCTGAACTGGAATATCAAGTGGAAGAAAAGTCTTTTAAGGGATCATTCAGATCAACTGTGTGGTCCCAAACCATGTATTAGCAAAAGTGTATCTGATACTTGGTCATGACTCTCTGCTGCCTCAGTCTACCTGGCCTCTATGGCCTGAGCACTAAAGCAGAAGGTAGAATTTGTACACAGGCAAAAGTAACAACACTTGATACCCTGTCACTTGACTTGAGATTTTCCTGCAAAGGCATTTCAATTTTTAAGGCCTAGCTGTTAGGCCCTGCAAAATCTTTGTGAAGTCTCACTTTAACTAGATGTAGGGGGCTTTTCTGGTCTAGCTTCCACTAATGCTGAAACAAAAGGAGTCATGCTGTTTTGAAACCACATCAGGACTTCTAAAACTTTATCTGTATTAGTGAGTGGCACAGTGGAGAAGATTTATAGAGGAGAAATCAAACCCCTGTTTTGAAAACCCAGCAACCACATTCTGTAAGTTTGGGGGAATTCTACTTGGACTAGCTCTGGTCTAATCCTTTGTAACAAATGCCCCATTAGTGGTTAGAGTACCACAGGAGCATTTTTTTGAGCTTTTCTTTCATTTTAATTTAATGCAAAACCTCTCATATTTTATGTACTGTTGTGCAGTGCACATCAGGAGGGTGGTAGAGGAGGGTGGGTGGAAGATCTTTTTCAAAAGCATACTTCTGATGTGCAGGGAAACGCAGGTGTAGGCTCTCCTGTCTTGGGGGTACACTCTTTCAAGTTTCTGACTGACAAAGCAAAGTCAGCACAATTTGAGTGCAGATTAATCCCTTAGTGTATAGAAAAGAAGAAGAGCTTCTGGACAAACAGATTTGAATGGTAATTTCTCTGCAACTGTGCACAACTTCCATAGTTGTCTCACATTGCATGTCCACTTCTGTATTCTGTTCCCGGTTATTTACAATGTCTGCATAGTTTTCTCCTAAGTCTTTTTTTTCTTCAAAGCTGCTACCTTTCATTAACTGAAGATTCTGGTGAAGTTCCCAGTAGAGGCCCAGTTGGTCTAGAGTGTGACAGTTTGGAAAAGCAGTGTAGTTCGATACTGTAGTTGGTCCCTGGCAAGCATTTCCATCCGAAAAATAAAATGTGGGACTGGCTGATGTGTCAGTATGCAACTGTTGAATTACATGCTTACAGCTATCATCTGACATGATTAGAAGTTTGACTAATTATTCCATTTTTTCACTATTTCAAACCAGATGCTGCAAATGTTTTGGTGGTCAGTACTGAGAAATCTGCAAAAGATGATGATCCTGGCATTATTTTTTTCTTCAGGTAAGCTATAAATCATGCTCAAAACATTATGTCATTAACAGTAATCGTGTGAAGGAAATAGTACAGCTTGCTAGATCATTGTCTTATACTATCTCATGAAACTCAAGGAATAACTGTTCAGTCAGAATGATTAAAAGAAAAAAATCAGAATTATTTAAATGGTTAAAAAACTTCTCGTGGTTTTTCATTGAAGTATGGTTAAAAAGCAACTAGTATGTAATTTCTGTGAAGATAGTTTTAAGTTTTTTTTATTCACAATGACAAAAGTTGCCACTGTTCAATTTGAGTATTCCATTAAAATACATTTAAAAAAGAGTATGATTACACTCAGTTTTTCCTTGAATTCACAGGGAAGGGGCTGTTGTATTTTGGAATGTGGAAGAGAAAAGTGTAAGTAAAGTGAAACTTGGTTAAAACTGCATAAGCAGGTGTTTTGTCAGTCTCACAAAGCTCAGCATGCTAGAGGTTTGTTTGGGAGATGGATCTTTCTATGAAGGGAAAAAAAAGGATTGATTCTTCTCTAATGAGTGCAGGTTCTTGCCTGCTACTGCCCTCAAGTGTGTGGGCTGCTGATACATCACTTTTGAAACTCACCTACTTAAGACAAAAATCTGAAACCTTCATCTTGTGAGACTGACAAAAAAAAAATTCATGCAGCTCTACATCCTGGAAAAGTAGATCAGAAAAATCTACTTGTGAATGACTGTTTGAAAAGCACTAACGTAATAAAAAAATATGTTAGAAGGATCATTGCATTCTATTGCATTTTAAGTCAAGACTATTAAAGACTTATGTTTGTATAACTTTGAAAGAGAAAAAAATAAGTATTAGGAACTCTTTAGTACTGTTCTGTGTTTTTACCAGCCAGCAATTTTCCTGAAGGAAGATTTTATTGGTTGGTATAATTACTAAATATGCTGCTGACATATTATATTTTGGTGATCTTTGCTGACCTAGAAGAGTATGCCAGAGGCATGTCTATTTTAATGAATATATTTATAGTTTTTTAATGTTTTAAATGCATTTTTATTACTATGGTTGAACTGGATTCTAGATAGAAAAAGTATTGACCTTATCTGTAGGCAGAGTATGTGAAATTTAATGGTGTAAGATGCATAGAAATTCACAGGAGGATTTTTATTGGGGTAAATGAAAACACAGAGCAGTTGTTTACAGATGTGAACAATTTCTGGATTCAAGTTCACTTTTTGTTTCAGAACTGGAATGTTCCTGATTTCCTGTATGTTTTGGGGGGTGTCAGTGTATCAGGTGTCCTACAAAAAGATACCAGCTCTCCCTTCAAACCTTGCCTGTAGCACCCTTAGGATGCTGTGGCTGTAACTGCACTACTGATGCACAAGTATTACTGAAGAGTGGCTGACTTAACTCCTGATGATCTTTGAGTTGGACACTTCAGCCCACCAGAGAAGTCTGAAAATCCTCCTTTTGTTGTACATGCTTAAATACCTTTGAAAATTTGATACCTTGTTTTCCTGGTCAATACTACTATCAGAGTTGGTCCCTTGCTAGCTTTATTTATAAAAGAGGAGGAAAAATGCTTCTTTCTTCTTGTTGAAATCACAGTCAAAATGACTTGCTCAAATAGAAGCAGTAGTTTTATGGACATGCTTTAATGAACTGAAACGAAAGGAGAAAAACCCCAAACTGGTCTGTAGAACAGAAACTGAAAGTAATTCAGTAAAACAGAATGTAGAGTATTGCTGGAAATGGACAAAAGTACCACAGAAAGACTAGTAGGAGAAAAAAAACTATTTTAAATTAACAAACACTTAACTGTAACAGACTGATCACAAAAAGAAAATTAAAATACAAAATAGCAATTTCAAACACCTGAGTAGGAAGGTTACACAGCAGCTTCCTTACCAAAATAGCAAGGGCAAAAAGAAAAATCAGCTTTGAGGGTTTTTTTAAAAGGAAATTGTGTGACGTAAGTGCCCATAATAGCAAGAGTTTGCAGCTAGTGACTCCAGAACATCTCTTGTAATAAATTTTACTGTGTCACAACTAGTCCCTTCTATAAAATTAGGCTGGACCTAGAAGCAATGCAAGGTTTGCACTGCTGAACTGTCCCTGGACGCTGCTGTTTGGCAGAGGTGACTGGTCTTAGAGCAGACCTTCCTTTTTTGTCACAAGACTTGAATTATATGGCAAGTCTTAGTCATGCTAATACTGAATTGAGGATTATAAAAGAAGCAGTTTCAGCTGTATGGTTGAGGGGGTTTTTTTCAGTGAAAAATGTTACTGTGTTACCTAGATAGATAGTATCACCAAAATTCTTGAAAGCAGTGAAGAAAGCTAGCAGTGCAAAGAAAATCCTTCTTGCACGTGATCCAACAGATTTTTTTAGAATACTTACCCTGGAGAATATGCTTTATGAAAAATGTATAGGGTACAGTTTCGTGCTAAAAGATTTAGCTATGATCTTTATTTTAAAAAGTGAGTGCGTTTTAAGTATGACTTTGTAGAAATTGAACTCTTGAAAGAAATTATGCATCAAAAGTCTATTGAGGTTTTGTGGTTTGGTTTTTTACTGGCTGTTGGGTAGCTAAATGCCTTTTAAAAACTTGTAGGTGAGTGGTTTTTTTAGTTCAGAATTTGTTCTAATTGCAGATGATTTTTTTTGAGGGGAGCCTTGTAGCATATAAAAAGGAACAAGGATCCTAAGTCAGGTGTCAGAGGAGAAAGTTTTTGTGAGAGAAAAGGGCTCTTTTCTTCCTGCATCAGGTTTTAGTGTGCTGGAGAATAAAGGAGCAGTGAGATTACTTCTGCAAGTAAAATTGCACATTTAACTATTTACAGGGGTGAATGTGGCAGCTGAAACAATTTTTCCAGATTTTTGTAGTGGTAAAGGGTTTCTGTAATATAACTGACCTCTGGTAGCTGAAACAACTACTGATTTCAGCCAGCAATTAAAAACAAAACTACTGATTTAGCAGTAAACTAGTAATTTTATCAGAAACAACCACTTAATGTACTTCTAAAGATTGATTCCCACACTTGGACATCTGCCAAAATCTAGTACAGCTCATTGTTATAATACTGAATACACCCATGTTGTCCTTACTGCTGCTGTGATTAATCCTTACCCTGTTCCATGTGTGCATATATAAAGTGACATTTCAGTTTTCCCAGATTCCTTGCAGTTGTTCATAGCTACAAATTCTTCTCAAACCACAACTAGTTTCAGAAGTAAACTGTGTTAATAATAACTTCATTATTTATCACACCTCTTCATTGTTAGGTAAATAACTTCAGCATGAAGGTTGCATTCATCAGCCTGCCCTACGCAAGTTTTTTTGCAGAGTGCTAATTTACTGCATGGTAACTATTGCTGCAATTGTCTCCTTCTTAGATGAAGAATATCATGCGAGTGCTAGAGCAGCATGAAATTCAGCCATATGAAGTTGCATTGGTCCATTGGGAGAATGAAGAGCTGAATTATAGAATAGGAGAGTAAGTATCTTCAGGCATTCTGTATATAAAAGCTAACAGACACCTAAACCAAATTCAAGCAAAAGTAATTCAGATAGTAAAAATATACTTGTCCTTACTTTTTTTTCTGAACGAGTAAAATAAAAAAAAAAGACAACAGTAAATCTTGAGTTGAAAATGTTGCTGTCTTGGTAAACTTGCAGGTAGTGGCCTTTGGGATTTGCTTATACAATATATCTTGTAAATAAGAAGCTCCCTGCCCACACAACTCTTCAGCAATGCCAAATAGACACTATGAATGTCACAGCAAAAAAACTAATGAGCATTATTGAGAGGAGTCTGATTTTAAAGAGGATGCTCTATACAAGCTTTCTCTGTGTATCCTTGAGGTTCATACACAAAGTTGTAATTCCTGCATGTACTTCATTTCCTAGTAAAATTACAACTTGATTATTGTGTGATGATAAACCTGGCAAGTTAACTTTCCTTGTTAAATAAAGTTTTTTCATCATGAAAAGAAAATTATCTCTACAGAAATATTTCACAATGAAAATGATTATATAAATTACCTGTAATTTTCCAACAGCACCAGAAAGCAGCCCCTAGACAGGATACTGTTAATACTAGGAACTGAACTAATGAGGTTCAGCTTATTTTAGGTAACCTGATAAGGAGACAGGTGTTTGGTTTTTCCTCACCATTTGAAAACTGCATGTACTATTTAGTTGTACAATTTGTGATTCTTGACATGCTCCATTGTGCTTATGCATGTTTCATTGTGAGATTGACATGAAAAATTGAACAAGTCTTTTGTCACCTTTTCTTTGCTCCTTGCCCCCTATGCAATAGAGGTTTCAGGGAAAGTAACATCATAGTGGGGAGGGAGGGAGTAAGGTTGATAAGAGTGACAGGAGAAAATGACAACAGAAAGATTAACAGAGGAGCTAAAGAGCGGGAGAGAGGCCAGCAGCCTGCTTACTCTGAATTATCTGTGTGTATGCAGCAATGCTACTGTTACCGTCACAGCTTGCTGCACTTGCATCTACACCTAGAAAATTTGGCCATAATACTTATTTTAGACTGAGGAACTAATTTTCAGTGATTTGTTGTGAATATCATCAGGTTGAACGTGAATAAAATGCAAGGATGGGGATGATACCCATACAGATATGGCATGGCTTATCTAAATAAACAACCAGCCTTTCTTGCACTGTCGATTATTCTTTTATGTTCCTATACTAGTGGCTCGGTCAATGAAGGTGCTTCAATCTTGTCTTAACAGAGGTCAGTCAAAGCTCCATAAAGGACAAATCTTGTTAAATTCTGAGTTGGATAGTGATGAAGTTCTTCTGCAGAAATTTGCCTTTTCAAATGCTCTTTGTCTTTCTGGTAAGTTAATGTTGTTCATACTGTGTAGTCTATGCTACAGATTTTGTGAAATGTCATTATGAGTGGGACTTGTATAGTGACAGGCTGGAAAAGACTTGGTATCTGGTTTAGACAAACTGTGTAAAGAGTGATTGTACTTCAGAGTGAGAGGATTTTGTTTTCAATGCTTTTACTGTGTTTTCTGTAAATTGGAATTGCCTTTTTCAATGTAAACTATTTTAAAGCTGAACAAAGCATATTAACAAACAAAAGATACAGATTCTACTGAGCATCCTGTTACCCACCCTTGAGAACTATCCTAGGGTAACAATGAGCGTAGAGTTCAGTATTAGAAACCGCTCAGTAATCTTGGGTAATTCATACTGATACCATTTCCTCTGACAGAAGCAGCTAGATGCCAGCTAAAGAAGTGATACAGAGCAGCTATTCCCAGCTGGGGAGGTGTATCAGTGACACATATGTGGACCAGAGTCACAGATAATGTTTGCAGGCTTATTAGCCATGGTAGCAGACAGTGGGAGGCACTGTGAAGAAGTCAGGCTCACCAGTCATGCTGCTGCTTGGGCAAATAACACCTGTCTGCTGCTTCAGACCTTGAATGATGTAGAAAGTGGGAGTTAAGAACTAGCAGCACTAAGATTGTCCTCAAAAAAAGTCTTTAAAGGAAGTCTGGTCTGTCTACTTCCACTGCCTTTAGGGCAAATTCCAGGATTACAGTAATATTTTGGGGAAGTGCACCTTTACACAGGAGAGAACCAGAATGCACATTTTTGAAGTGCTACAGTAAAAATAAAGGATGCAAGCAAGTATAGTCCTTCAATAGATTTTTGAACAGCAGAAACCAATCTCTGTCAAATAATGGGTGACAGATGAAATGCTTGCTGGCTGGGTTTTTTTTTCAGGGGCTAAATTTAAAGTCATTTAAGTCAGTGACTTGGATTAGGCCTCTGTATTCAAAAGATGAGTGTGCAAAATACTCAGCATTGGGTTTACTGGCAGTGTCCTAACCAGATTATACTATTGATTACTACCATAGAAGATATCATTTGGCAATTAAATCTTCCCTGATGAATTTTTTCTGGTTGAATGGGGTTAACTTTTGATCTGTTACTACTTCATTCTTGTCTGGTAATCTGTGGACTAAAGAACAAGCCCCAAATTATATTATCATCTTGTAGAAACATTTTTCTAGGTTCAAGCTGAGGCATAGCAGAAGTTGTGTGGCTGATGCCAGTGCTGAACTCAGGCTTCATTAGCACAGAAGTCAGTTATCTTCAGTAACAGTACACTCACCTAAAAACAGAAGATTGCTCAAGTTTGAATTGAGCTTCAACAGGAACAGGTGGTGTATCTATACAAGCTAACTCTCTGTGGTTGGAGCAGTGCAGCAATACTGCACTAATGGAGAATGAGAGCTGTGCAGGACACTGAAAGTGCAGTGGAGGCTCTTGAGGTACCACATGAAGTCAGCCTGATGCCAACATAGCTCATTATCTCCAGCCTCCTTGGAATGTAGTTTGCAGAGGGCTCACACATCCAGTAGAGCACTTGGACACACAACTTCTGAGCTGAAGCAAAAAATCTCCAGGATCTGAACTGATCACTTGGAGAAGACAGCTGCGCTCATGGTGAAGCTGGTTCTGTGTGCAGAGCTGTGTCAGTGCCCAGCCCAAATCTGTCCACTGGTACATGAACAGTGATTGTATAGTACAAACTGTAACTTGCTGCAAATAATGTCTTTAAGCATTGACATGTCCTGAAGCAGCCTGTTGGCAGATTTAATTACTTGAAAGCATTTGTACCTCTCACAATTATCTGCTTTGTCATCTCTGTGTTGCAGTAAAGCTGGCTATTTGGGAATCATTACTGGATAATTTTGTGGAATCTATCCAATCAATTCCTGAGGTGAGTTATTTGTAACTCTCTCATCCTTTTCTCCTATACTTGTAAAAGATCAGTCCAGATTTAGCTGAGGAGAGGGAAGAAGTATTTGATGGTAAATCCATCAGTGTAGAGAAGCTCAGAACACCTGCAAAGTGGTCGGTTTAAAGGGCTTTAAATGGCTGGGGAGTGGGGTTCTCCATAGTAGTAGCATTCCCCATGTTATGCCACTGTCACTTGCTACTGGTGGAATGTACGTGTAACATGACAAGCAGCATTTAAAAACCTGGCCAAACACAGTGTGTGCTAACTTGGACTGAAAATAATGTGCTTTGACTTGAATATAATGAAGAGTTTGAGTGAATTACTTAGAAGTTTTTCATGGGACTTAATTACAGTAAAAGCCCATATGATGTTGTATATAAAAATGACATTTGTAGGTTTCAAAAGAGAAAACGTTGGTTTATTACTTTTATATGAAGGAAATAAATGGTAATACATTGATTGTTGTAAGGAGAAAGTCTTTCAAAAGGCTAAGGAGTGACAAGGTAAAAGAACACTGTCATGACTTTAAAATAAAAACAGCAGGAAGGAAAAATAAATGATCTCTTGTTGAGGAAATCATTTATAGAAAATGCCCCAGTATTTCTGTAGCTACTGATGATGTAGTCAGTGATTTATTGAGAAGCCTGGATGAACCAGTTGCACGGTGATATTCTTAGAAAGCTAGAGAAGCAAGGCACTAAGCAAAAAACCCTAAAATGTTAGTAAGTACAGTATGCATTTAGATTCTAAGATACTTCAGGCTGTAGAACTCTGGACTTTTTAACTCCTAGTATGTGTTACTTGATCAAGCAGTGAAGACTTCCTACTTTTCAGATTCTAAAGTCACGAAGGAAGATAAAACTCTCTCATGCAGATGTGATGCAGAAAATTGGAGAACTCTTTGCACTAAGGTAACTTTTTTGGTTACACCCAAGACATTGTATTACAGAGAATGTAAAAATTGCATTGTGCATGACACAGAGCAGAATAGACACTAAATAGAGCAGAGTGAGATAGGGTGGGAGAATTCCCTCTTTTGACTGAAGACTGTGCTATTTACATTAGTAAGGGGAACCACTGGCTCACCACTCACACTGGTGTTTCAACTGCAGGCATTAAGAGGCAGTATATCATAAATGACCAAATACCATGCCCTTTTCCCTTCCTGAGTCCAGCAACATGTCTCTTAACTAGTAATTATGGTAGATACTAAAGCATGTAAAGGATACCAGGAGAAAGGTGAGTAGGTAAAACTGCTAACTACAACCTAGAGTTGGTAAAAATCTTTTGTGATTTCTGTTCTTCCCTTGACTTACTCAGAAACCACTGCTAAGTTACTGGATGTAATGTTTTTTCCTGCCTCAAGTGAAATTTGGCCTTTGTTGACAATACAACTATTACACACTATAAAAAAAAAAAAGGGAAAAAACTCTACCAAAATCTCCAATGTAAAATTAAAAAAGCAATTTCTACTTCAAACGCTGAGGTTTATAGCCTTACTTGAAGGACTGATCAGTAATCAGCAATGACGTTCCAAGTATCCAAAGGTTTATGACAGCAATATGAGGAAGGCACGAGATGTTAGGTTTTAGCCTTTATGATGCTTACACCATAGCCTGATTCTGAGGGGTGTCCTGTCCTCACACATCCAGCATGCAGTACCAGTCACATTTAGGAGTTCTGTATTGTTATTTTGCGTACTGCTACAGTGAGCTGCCGGCATGGTTAGGGACCTTTCTACAGGTATTGAAAATTAAGGAAGGCAACAGGTTGAGGAGGCAGTATTGGCATAAGGCAAAAGTCACTTATGTTCAAAACAGTTCCACAGTAGAGTACTCCCAGAAAAGTTTCAGGAGATATGACCAATTTTAAATAATCACTCCAATTGTATTTTTACCATGAAAGGAGATTCTTTTTGTAGTCTATGTAGAATTATAGGAAAATTTTCTTACTTCATTTAACTGCATGTAAATATTTGCTCATATTCACCAAGAGGAAGCCTGAACTACAGTAGTACCCATTCTTTTTAGACACCGTATAAATCTGAGCTCAGACCTGCTAATAACACCGGACTTCTACTGGGACAGAGAAAAACTGGAAGAGCTTTATGACAAGACTTGCCAGTTTCTCAACATTAATCGCAGAGTTAAGGTGAGTGTCTTATTGTGAGAACCTTCCACACTCACATCAATTGTCTTTGGCTCAGCAGGGGCACAAATTGCTCCATGAATGTGCTTTAATTGCAGAAAGGAAATAAATAATAAGATTTTATACACTCTCCCTACTCTCTAAGTGTTCTTAGCCCACTCACACCTTTACCTTAGGTTTAGGTTAACCTGCCTCACATGAATGGTTTATTTCCTGAGCCACTAAATTAGGCTTTAAATAGTTAGAAGAACTGAGAAGTGGATTCTTCTTACTGACATGGTAATTCATGTCAGTTCTTGAAGGGTGACATAAAGTTTACTGCTGAACCAGAATAAGTAGCACCAAAACTACCTTGCCTGGTGGTACAGCAATCATAAATATTTAATTTTGAGGCATTCCAGAAAGCTGTATTTACTTTTGCTTGTGATTGTTTTCATGAGTATGTATCACCCAGAAACAGTTCAATACCTGTAGATGCATATCTAAATTTATATTCTTTTGGGGAACCTATTGAAATAACAGGTCCATTTATACTGAAGCTTGTTGCTTCTGCATTTTGTCTTAGAGAATTTTCTGTTCTTAATTTTCTGTTCTATTTTGCATAGGTGTTAACCCCTTTCTAGTTCTGTAGAGTGTGTTTCCCTGTTCAGTGATCTAATTCCATTTCTTGAGTCCAGATTTGTGATGTTTGTAATTGCTTGCAGGTAATGAATGAAAAGCTCCAGCACTGCATGGAGCTGACAGACCTAATGCGAAATCACCTGAATGAAAAGCACGCGCTGCGTCTTGAGTGGATGATAGTAATACTAATCACCATAGAGGTTGGTGGGGCTTTTTTTCCAGTATTAAGAACACAGTAACAAACATTTTCTAAACTTCATAATTTGAGAATTAAGATTACTGCATTAATGTGATGTACATGGGGAATTAGTATTTGTTCTTTGCAACTTTCAAATGATAGCTACAGTTACTTTTCAGATTACCTGATTTATAGTGTAAACTGGTTTAATGGTTTTTAAATAAAATAAAAATTCTTATCAGTGTGTTTGCTGTTCCACAGGTTCTGTTTGAACTTGCAAGGGTAATTTTCTGATGACAGAACTCAGGAAGAAGAAAACAGACAAAACAATAGAGAACACAAGACCTGGAAAATTCCAGTCATACACTTCTGGAGAATCATGAAATTGTGTATCTTAATAGATCTTTAAATATTCTACTCAAATAAAAAAAAATTAAAAATCAGTCTGTGAACATTATTCCCAACGACTGTACTAATAATGTTAGAGAGGGCCCAATTTATGGATGAATCTCATCCATGCTGACTGTTTTTGGTGAAGGACTCTACTTCGTTCTCCCGTAACAGTTAAAATTATGCTGAATACTTTGCTACTTTGTGTATTTCTGATTATGTTTTCCCTCATGTTTACCAGCTCACTCTTGGAGAGCTGCGACAGTGTGCCAAGCTTGGAGATGGCATCACTATTTGTTCTCCTGGCATGATTTTAATTTATTTGGCAGATATATTTAATACTGTATTCCATCCCACCAGAAAGTGGCGTTTATATACCTGTATGGGAATACATTTATTGAGATGCAGTACTATTTACATTATTTTTTTTACATTTAGTATTCATATAGAAGGGGAATTAGTTGATCTCAGAGGTCACAGGGACCTGTAGCAAAATGGTAAACTAAAGAAATATTTACAGAATTTCTCTGTCCACCTTACCATGCTATCTGATTTTTATCAGTGTAAGTTGCAAGGAGTGACTTAGCAATTATTAATTAATCTTAAATATCCTCTAAGGTAAAAGTTTCTTCTTTTTTGTTTTTAATCTATTCCTAATCTACAGAGTGTTACTTACTCAAGAGGATGCACAGATTTTTTTTCCTAGCAACTTCTTTTGCTAAATATATTTTCAGAAACTGGTACACAACTGCTGTTTTATCACCTGTTTCACTTTAGTTCACTGTATTCAATAATAATTCAATAATTCAATAAGGAATAGAACCTAAAGATTCTGTTAAAAGCTCTTCTCCTGGAGCATCATTAACAAGCCATGATGACTAAATTCTGGCTGAAAATGCAACTACAGTTGCAGTAGCTTACTGTTTTCTCTTCACCTGAAAGTATTATTTCTGAGTGCAGTACTGGACTCCTGCTGAATACATCAAACAGACATAATGGAGAAAATAAAGTCAGGCATAGCTAGCAGAAACGTCTGACTGCAAACCCATCCTTTTGCCATAAATTACAATGCACTGCCATGGGTGCCTCTGCTGCTCCTAAGAGTAGGCTTTCTCCATTGGAATCAGAACAGATTGCAACCAGAGGTCTTGGTTCTGGAATAGCCCTTGCTCAAAGAAGTGAACTGGTCAGAACAGCTCGGTGACAAAGACTTGTCACTGCGGAACTGCTCTGCATCAGTAGCCTGACACTTGCACAGCATTGTTAAATAACAGAATATTACATTGTTTATGCAGCACGAAAACTTATCAAGCACCACTTAATTCCAATAGCAGAAAATTAGTTTACAATTTAATTATCATTTTTCCAGCAAATATTTTTCAGGCTTCTCCCTTCCCCCACTCTGAGGCAATACTTACACTCAAAGACATTAGTTCCCATTCATCTCACATTTAATGTTTCAGTATTTCAGCTAAATTGCTAAAATGTAAATATGCAGACCAACTGCATCATTAAGAAAAGTGGTTTTAACAAAGTCATTGGAGGACTCTCTAAAAGCATGAAGTGCCCAGTCTTGATTATCTGAAGTATTCTGTCTCAGGACTGTAAGTTACCAACACCTCAAAACAAAAGAAGCGCAGTTACTTTTGAAATTGTGAATCAGTTTATCTTGGCACAAATCACAGGCATAAAGTCATACTGTGCTCCTTGTCAAGCCCCCAACCCTGCTTACTCCATTGATTGAGTGGCTAGTCACAGTTTAAATAAAAACCTAAAAGCTTCAGTTATGCCATAACAGACCTTTAAAACTTTGGTTTTTTCATGGTGTATACACTGACAGCTGCATCCAAGCCTGAGGGGTTTTTGTCTTACCAGCTAACTCTATAGAGAATCCTCTTGCTATATTACACATAGAGAACCAAGCTGGGAATTGAGTGCACCAAGAAGGTAACTTGAGCTTTCACAGCACAGTATACCAGGGAATAGAGCCCTCTGTGACCACACAGCACGTGGGAAACTCTCGCCACATGGCCTAACCAGGAAAAAGTTTTATGGCAGGGGCAGGATGAGACTCAAGCTCCAGAAGCAACACTAAATTGCCTTATTTGTGAGAACACACCCATCTTTTGCCTGCCTCACCCACCACATGCTGTCCTGGTGTAGCTGAAAACAACCTTCATCACTACAGTTAGCACATTTTGAGTCTTTACCAAAATGGGTTTACTCTAACCAGTAAGGGTCACATGAGGAAAAAAAAAGGAAGATGCAATAGCAATAAATACAGAATATGCAAGGAAGACCACAGAGAAATCCTAAAATATCCAGAACTCAGAAATTTTAACCTTTTTAACAAAATTAAGACTGAATGGTAAAAATCTCTTCATATGGAGCCTTGTTAGATCATTTGTTACAAGGATTCCAATTGTGCAAACTGCTTTTATGTGTGGTTTTTCTGTCAGGTAAGGTAAAGGACAACTTATACATGATTTCCTTTGGCAGATCTGCTGGGAAGTTGTCACAAGAGTAGCTATTTGCAAAGCAGCAAGGAATGCTGAGAGCTGTGACTCAATTCCAGACCTGTTTTTCTGGGGTGACAGCACTCATGAGTAGAGTCAATCCCTGCTCTCTGCTGCACTGTTCACATCTCCTCTGCTTTCTGGATGGATACACACACATCCCTGGAGCTCTGTCACTGAGAGCTGCTTCCTCTGGAATACCTTACCTGTGTGGATATTAAAAATGCACTTGGGAACCACTGCAGTTTGAATCCTTTTTTTCCTAAGGAAAACAACATACAAGTACATATATTGCTGTAACTTTATAGTCAAGCTTCACTAAAAATGTCACTCCAGCCAAGAGGACATTGTCACATTTGAACTTCACCTGTTAAAAGTGGGCATGGCTAATTTCGGACTAAGCCAAAGGCACTAAATAGATGGCTAATGCAAGAACTGTGTTAGTTGGGTTACACTAAAAATTCCTGACAGAGATGAGTCTCCTAACAAGAAAAACTATACATACAGTTGAACCATTTCCTTAAATTACATACATTGTACTGACAAAAGGATGGTTATAGTTATTTCCCCTGGTCTATACTGCAGCTACTCAACTAGTTTTGTTCACTAGGTGTAGAAACAATTCTGGTATCTATTTGTCCAATACCAGAAAACCAGCTTAGCCTACAGAACAAAAAAGATCCATTTCTTCATCTTTTTACCTCATACAACCCACACAAAAGGTGGCTCACACACCATGGATCTCCTTCATCTCTCAGACCACCAGCCCTACTGGCAACAAAACTGAAAGCTCAGATCTCCTTGGGGATCACTATCACCTATCACAAACATACCCACCAGCAAGCAAGGCAAGGAGAAGCACGGAAGCCAAGGCAACAAAAAGCAGAGCCATTCCACTATTGCTGCTGGGCCCTTACATCAGTTTTCCTAGGGGTCACTTTAACATTCCTACAATGCTGTTTGAAAGACAGGTGAGACTTGGACAACTGTGTGCACAGTTCTAACAAGAGGAGGACAGAGTGCTGGATAAAAAGCTTGGAGAACCTCAGAGGTACAATGTTCTAGCAAGAAGCTACTGCAGCTGTCACATTTGCCACCAAGCCTTCTTGCCAGCATAAATCAAAAGTGCAAGTGTTAGAAATGGCAGCTGTGCTAATAAAACATTTATAGCATTGACATAAACTCATGTTTTACTACAGTTGTACCTATGTGAAATAGGGTCTCACACCTTTGGGGAACAGTTCCCACATTGCCTAGGACATGCAACTCCCAGATCCCCATGGTTTCCACTCCTCTAGGAGTGCATCAGCAGTGTTACAGGGAGCAGTGAGCAAAGAGCTCTCCAGAACAGCGACTATGGTCTCTTACTTTCCAAAAATGATGAGAAATTTGAAAACTCACAAAATCTTACCACTTTGAGCCTAATTAACATCACTAGAGCTGTTGAGGTTTTGACTATAGCAATAAAAAAATCTGCTATTCCACTCCAGATTTCAACTGAACTCATCCAAGAAGACATACTTACAGGACTTGAGACTGGATCAAATTCCTCCCACTGCTCAAGTGACTTTTTACTCAGATTAGCAGACACTTCCGTCATCCTATTAACACTTATATCATCAGCAGTATGCTCATTTACAATGTAAAATACAATCTTATCAGACAAAATGCTGCCTCTAATCCAAGTACATGCAGACCAAAGTAAACCCCAAAAGCTAGGGACTGAGCCTGTCATCAACATCATCACACCTAACTAAGAATGTGCTCACATGTGTGTACAACTATCTCAAATAGTCTGAACAGTCCTTTCAGAAAGTCATAAAAGTGGGAAAGAAATCCTAATCAAGTACCTCTAGAAACTCAGGAGGAAAAACCAAGCACGTCAAAACTAAAAGCACAGTAATGCCATTTAATGAGACATGGATAAATTTTTATTACAGTTTCAGGTGCATGGATCGTAACCTAAAAAACAAACAAACCCAAAACTCTGTAGAAGAGATAGAAGTAATATTTTAGATTCACATGGTAAGTTGGGTGTCCCAAATGCATCAGGTGAATGCTTATCACTCCCTGCGACACAGGTGACGTCTCAGGTGTCAGTCAGTACTGAAGGTCTGAAGTTTGGCAACATTACACTCAACACAGCCCTCTTTCTACAGATTCCAACAAGATTAGAAACTGCATTATTTCTGGATTCAAGTATTGCAGTCCAAAAAAAGGTGATTTGAAGCTGAATTATGAGCTGTTAATAATACAAATAAACCATAGCTAAGTTAATTTTTCTCCAGTTTCAGAGACAGCACAGAGGAGAATCCCACATGAATGCCAACACACAAGTAAGCAAGTGCAGCATAAAAGAGAAAAAGAGGCCAAAAAGCCTGCCAGATATCTGACAGAAACACACTGGTTTTCCTAAGTAGACCACTCAATTAAATTAAAAATTATATCACTTTTTCAATATCTTCCAGGAGAATGAGACAGATCATCAAACACTAAGCGACTTCAGCTCAAAAGTCCATGTACTCTCTTTACTTTGTATTTAGTTTGCAAAACTGAAGTGCAAGGGCAACCATTGAGGGGAAAAAATTGCCAAGTAGACTGGTTAAATACACTCTATAAACTTTCTGCCGCATGTTCACATAACAGAACTCAGAGAATTGTGCTGAACTACAATGGACATGTTTTTAAAATCTCAGCTATTCAAGATGGGTCTTAAAGGTTAAGTTCTGTTCAGCTGCTTTATTCTAAGTACTGGAACAGCAGCAGTCAGTCAGCTTTCAGCTTCATTGAAATAAAAAGTTGTTGGGTTTTGGGGTTGGTTTGTTGGGTTTTTTTAAGACTTCACTAGTCTTAAAAACCTGCACTTTTCCAATACAGTTTAACTTGGGTAAATAAATTAATATTCATGAACTATTTGATGCAAAGACTCAAGCTGTGCCTATCAAGACATCCATTAATTTCAGTGGGAGACGGCTTAGTCAAACTCACATAAAACTGGTCTAATCCTTTATCAATTTAGATCCTGTAAAAGGATCTAAATAGCCTGCAATGGCTGCAATCATCTGTGCAAGATACAAGATTCCTCCTCCCCAGCAGCACACCTGCTGTCAAGATGCGAAGTTCAAAGTTTGGGCCTTTTTTTCCATAGTGTATCTTATTTAATTACCATGGAAACAACATCCTGGGTACAGCTAGGGCCCTTAAATAAGTACCTTAAAAAAGGTAATAATCATCTGTACCTAATTCAGACAGTTGGCACTGGAGCATATGCTGTTCCCCATGAACAACAAAAAGCACACTGGAGAACAGCAGGAGCAGGGCTCCAGGGCAGGGGGTGCAAAGGAACCCCCTTTAACTATTTCTGCCCAAACAACTTCCCATAAGGTCTTCAATGACGACAACGTTTCTCTCTGAAAATGCCATTGCTCCGCTTAGCAGATGTATCTGGGCTGTCCCTGGACTGATTCCCTGCCTGGAGAAATCACATCCAATCCAAGGGCCTCCCGGATTCTTGTAGAAGACAGCATCCCTGCTCCATGCTAACAGCTCTGACTTAATAACTTCTGCAAGACTGACAATTTTTTCCATGTATCATGGACATACATGTGTTTTCAGGTACATACCAACATGTCTGTTGGTGCATTTCTTTATGCAGTTTTATAAGCATCCACGGGATTGTTCTACAGCAGAGGCCTTGCTACAGTCACCTTCCTTCCACACTCCACCACAACCAGATATGCCACTGTGGGAAGCTGCAGATGTGATTTTCACATATGGCGGCTGTATCATCCCTTAAAAAGGCAAGTTAAGATTACCCACTTCAAATAACCTGCGTCCAGCCGAACAGACCGCAAGCAGACCCAACCTTTCCACTTTTGTACTCTGAATCACTCCTTTTTGACAACTGAACTTCTAACCTCCCATCTGACAGCTCAGCCACGGCGTGCCCAGGGCAGTTTCACAGAGACCGGTCCCACGCCGCCCCTTCCCGGCGCACCGGACCGAGACTTGCTGTAAATGACACCTGGAGAGCAGCCAGGGTGAGGCGGAGGAGGGCACCGGCTCTGAGTTGGCCCGGAACACCGCGTCCCGCCGCTGCCGGCCCGTCCCCGTCTCCCACATCCCCGGCGACTCCGCGGGG